AGGGTGAAACAGTGAAACAAAAAAGTAGTCAATTCAAATGAAGACCAAAAAGAAAAAGATACAGATGAAACAAATGAAAACACAAAATACGATCACATAAATCCAAATATAGTAATAATTATGTGTAAATGAACTAAACGCTCCAGTTAAATGGCAAAGACTCCAACTTGATTTTTTAAAAATATAACTGTATGCTGTTTAAAAAATTAAACATCAGGATCCCTGGGTGGCTCAGGTTTAGTGCATGCCTTCATCACAGGGCATGATATTGGAGTCCCAGGATCGAGTCTCACATCAGGCTCCCTGCATGGAGCCTGCTTCTCCCTCTGGCTGTGTCTCTGCCTCTCTCTCTGTATCTCTCATGAATAATAAATAAAATCTTTAAAAATAAATAAAAATAAAAGATAAATATCTAAGGATAGCGAAAAGTTGAAAGTAAAAAGATTTAAAAAGATATCAGGCAAGGGCACCTGAGTGATTCAGTGGGTTGAGCATCTGACTCCTGATTTTGGCTCATGTGGTCACCTCACATTTGTGGGACTGAGCCCAAGCTGAACGTGGAGCCTGTTCAAGATTCTCTCTCCCTCTGCCCCTCTTGCCCCCCTAACTCACATGCTTGACATCTCTCAAAACTAAAGTAAAAATAAAAGATACCAGGCAAGTCACCAAAATTAATTTAGCTACATTAATATCTTTTTAAACTTTTTGCCTTAAATTCTTAGGAATAAGCAACTTTACAGCATCAGTAATTTCATAACTATTAAAAGTTCATTGCAGGGGCACCTGCGTGGCTCATTCGGTTAAAAGTCTGTCTGATTCTTGATTTTGGCTCAGGTCATTATCTCAGGGTTCTGGGATGGAGCCCTGTGTTGGGCTCCATGCTCAGCATGGAGTCTGCTCCAGATTTCTCTCTCCCCCTCTTCCCCGCCCTCTATTCTCTTTCTCTCTCTAATAAAATAATCTTAAAAAAAAAAAAAGTTCACCTCAGAAAGAATAGAAATCAATTCACATTTATATGCAATAAATAATAAGCCTCAAAAAATAAGTAACAAAAACTGACCTACAAAAAGGAGACACATTTGCAATCACAGTGAGAGACTTTTAACACATTTTTCACAGTAATTGATAACACTGGAATAAAAATTGAGAAGGACAGAAAGATCTTCTCAACATGATAACCAATCTTATCCCAATGGGGAAACATACAACTGTGCTGGACAGCTGTGGAACAGTTCATTCCAAGGATATAAGAAATAATAACAAAAGGTGACCTAATTCAAAGCCATAAAATAAATGCCCAAAATTTCAAAAGATTCTAACCATAAAGAATGTCCTCTTATGCTGCTACAAAATGCTAGAAATCAATAATAAAATAAATACAAAATTGGAAATTAAAAAGCCAACTCTGACATGACCAATGAATCAAAGTAAAAATCATAATGGAAATAAAGTTTTAAAACAAAGATAATGAAAATACTAAATATCAAAACGTATATAATGCAGCTGAAGCAGTAATTAGAATGACACTTATAACTTAAAAATACATATCCTGGAAAAGACTGAAAATTACTGGATGCCTATCGTAAAGTGACAATATATTTAAAAAAAAAAAAGGAAAATGACAATCCTAAAAAGAAAAAAAGAAGAAGAAAGAAAAGCAGGAAGATTAAGAGATGGCACTGTAAGCCACTGTTAATATGGGGATTTGGGGATGCCTGGATGGCTCAGCAGTTGAGTGTCTGCCTTCGGCTCAGTTCCTGATCCTAGCATCTGGGATGGAATCCCACATTAGACTGCTTGCAGGGAGCCTGCTTCTCCCTCTGCCTGTGTCTTTGCCTCTCTCTGTGTCTCTCATGAATAAATAAATAAAATTTAAAAAAAAAAAAAGAAAATATGGGGATTTCAACTTCAAAGACATGCTAAAAGTGATTCTAGGAAACAGCAAGTGGAAAGGGAACCAGTTTTTCCTGATTAAACTATGCAAAACTATGTGACTCTTTAAACTGTCCATATATTAACTTTAATAAAAATTTAAAACCAAATTTAAAAGAGTAAAAAATTAAAAACAAAATGTAACAGAAGCCCATATGGTAACTGTCATCATGCTACCACAGATACATGAAAAAAGAGCTGTGAAAATACAGAATTTTGACACTTCCAATATTCTGCCATTAAAAAGCAAAAGCAAATAAAACTGTACTTGTCACTATGAATAAATAATAATAGTTTTAAAAACATGTATGGTGGTCCAAAAAGTCTGCTAATAATTACTTCAACAACTCTATATGTTGCCTTCAAATGCATTCAATTTGCCTCCATCTGGCCTTAACACATCTGGAAACAAAGTGGGTAGTATTCAGGATTCCAACAAACACATCAAGTAATTTTAAGCTCCAATGGCTGATACTGAAAATGACATGCAAATCCAAGTGGAAAAAGTCAAAATTGAAATTAATTTCTTTTATCTTTAATATGTCATGACTTGCCAGTATCTGAGAAGAATCATCTTCTTCTGAAAAAAATTCTTCCAAACACTTATCTAGAACCAACCAATATTTTTAATTCTCAAAAATACATCAATTAAATACTGCTGCTTATAGTTCCAACACACACTTGAAAAAATAGAGATTAAAGTATTTGATTAATGCATCCCTCTGAAATTAAAAAAATATATATATTACAGTGTCAACAAAACTATTTTAGAAATGATTTTCCAGTTATGTAAATAAAAAAGAATGCTCTATTCCCCTTAACATATGCTACAGAAATATAGCTGTATTCCATTAAACTTTATGGCAAAACAGAGGACATATCAATAAATTTACACTATCTGGAATACCTGAAGTAGCTTCTTTTGCTTAAACATAATAAAAAAGAGTGACTCACTTGGGGAGACTTTTCAGAGCACTTACATTCTTTTTTTTTTTTTAATTTTTTTTTTATTTATTTATGATAGTCACAGAGAGAGAGAGAGAGAGGCAGAGACACAGGCAGAGGGAGAAGCAGGCTCCATGCACCGGAAGCCTGACGTGGGATTCGATCCCGGGTCTTCAGGATCGCGCCCCGGGCCAAAGGCAGGTGCCAAACCGCTGCGCCACCCAGGGATCCCCAGAGCACTTACATTCTGACAAACCTGTCTTTACCATCTGACCCTGGCCAAGTCAGACCAAAAGTAGTAACGTGCTCTTCTATGAGCAGCCAAACTAAAGGAAAGCTGGCCAGCTGTTAGGCGCCAAGCAGGAAACCATCAAGGGTAGCGTAGGCCAGGTGATGAATTAACAGGCAAGACATCTAAGAACTCATCACCATAGCTTACAAGAAAGAAGTGGCCTCCTAAAGAATGAGAATCAAAATCCCAGCCTTGACACCCATTAAAAAAATTATTTTTTTATTCCCACATCAAAACACCATTTTTTAATCATGTTATATAGTTCTTATACACAAGAAGACAGAAGTAGGTGACTTCTTCACATAATAATCAATCCCTTCTCCAAATCCCTTCCACACATTTCTTTGCTTTGAGTTAGCAGTATTTATCATCTCTAGTTTATTCTGAATTCTCAGCTAGGCACAAAGGCATTAAAATAGTAGCCAGATAGTTTTGGTAGGTTCAGTGGGAGAAAATCATCCTGCATCCTTTCCTGAATGCCTCTTCCTATCTTCTTTTTCTCTTTTTGATAAATATCACTCTCCTTTATTCCTGCCTTCCTCCTAGTTCCCCTGATTTCAAAGCACCTTCCAACATCCCCCAAATCTCTGAGAGTACCAAGGAACTGGGGAAGGGGGAGTGAGAGCAACCTGCTGCTGCTCCTATTGCATCCAAAGATCCTAAGTTCCCAAAGAGAACCCTGAAAAATGAGAACTCTAAAGCATGAACATTAGCTAGCAACCACAGCCCAGCCCACCCTTGGGCAACATGGTTGAACTGTGAGGGTCCAAGTCACACATGGATTTTTTTCTGACAAATGCAGTACAGTTCTCTTCCTTATGATTTTCTTAGTAATGTTTTCTTTTCCTTAGCTCACTTTACTGTATACAGTATGTAGTACATATAGCATACAAAATGTGTTAATCAACTGCTTATATTATTGGTAAGGATTCTAGTCAACAGTAGGTTATTAAGTGATTAACCTGCAGGGAGTCAAAAGTTATACGTACATTTTTTACTCCATTGGGAGGGTAGCACCCCTAAGCCCCTCATTTTTCAAGGGTCAATTGTATTTCTCTTTTTATTTCTAAAATAAAAGTCACATTAAAATCTTTTTCTTTGATGGGGGCAAGATGGTGGAAGAGCAGGGTCCCCAAATCACCTGTCCCCACCAACTTACCTAGATAAGTAATCTTATCTTATCAGCTGGGTGAGAATAAGAAACTGTATCTACTAATTGCCACCAATTCCATCAAGGTTTACTTGCTGTGTAACCCATGCTAAGTACATTCCAGTAAATAAATGAGGATAAGAAATGTTAACAAGAAGTCACCCTCCCTGTGAATCAACTCAGATATAAAGACTTCAAATTCTCCTCCCCTCCCCGCCATTCCCTGGTTATATAGTGACTGTCAGGAAAAACAATCCAACAAGCAGAGACTACAGTTTTAATCTAGCACTTTTTCAGCTCTCACCCCCCTTGTTAGTTGGATGGAACGAAGACAAAGACAACTTCAACATAAGATTTTAAAATGCCATTTTAAAGATTACTTGTTAAAAAGAGTAAAAAAAAAAACTATGCCAATTAAAGCAATGAGCCCAAGTGATAAAAAAAATGTAAAAGCTAGTCCAAAAATTTAATGAGCTAGTCCCTTCATTTTACAGATGAGCAGTCTGTAGCTCAGAATGCTGAAATAACTACCTAATGTCACCCAGAAAAGGCAACACTACTTTCATATTTTAGAAATAAAGAGAAGAAGGAAAACAGTGATTACATGCCTTAGGAAAGGGAAAAGAATAAAGGAACTTTTTCTTAAAATCAATTAAGATGCTGTATTTTCTATATTTATACCTGAAAATCATCAACAAGCTCAGGGAAAAGGTGTTCATACATTTTAAGTTCTTCTATCGTTCGTCCAGGCTCCTGCTGAGGTTTTAGTTTGTTAATATCCGTTTCAATATCATCATTCTGAAATAATAAAAATGCAACCAGTTAAAAAAAAGGTAAAATTACAGAATACATTTCAGATAAAGTTTTCCAAATTATTAATTATATATAGAGAATAATCACTGAATAAAGGTTGTATTAATTTTACCATAGATTGAATTGCTTGTATTTTGGGGTCATTTCGTTGTTGTTGTTTTGGTTATTTCATTGTGTTTTGTTTTTGTCAAAGGCTATTCTAATAGAACACAGTATTTGGGCTCCTGAAGACAGAAAACCTAGTGTCAAGATCCAGACTAAGGATGTTCCCCACAATCTCCTTAAGTGCCATAGTTTTATTCATATTAAAGGGAAGATGAACTTAAAATTAAATTGAAAAATATAAATATATGATGGTAGTGGTGATAATCAAAATAACTAACATTTACTTAGCACTGAAAATGTGAGAAGCACTATGCTAAGCATTTTACATAATTTAATCTGCAAAAAAACACTATGAAGTAGTTAGCATCATTACTTCCATTTAACTGTAGAGGAAACCAAGGTACAGGGAGGCTAAGGGGCTTGCTCAAAATTACACAGTGTGCAAAGGGCCAGGATGAAAACTAATCACTGATTTCAGAGCATACTCTGTTAGTCAATGCACTGCCTCAAGACAAACCAACAATTACCCCATACTCTCATATTCCATGGTCAATAAAGTTCCCTTAGGAAAGCTCAGTGTCACTATATATTGTTTCTCAGGGGAAAAAAAGTAAAAAGCTGAACAACACCAGGAAATTACTTCCATGCCCCTTTAGGAAGGAAGAGGGTAAATTTAAAGGAGAGGTATGACTCAGAAAAACAGGATATGTATCTGGGATTAATTCGATCTCTATCTGTTCAAAGACCTACACATACTGTGCCAGAAAGAGAAGTTCAGTTTACCTACTATCCAAGCTATTCTCTACAACCTTCAACAAACCAGGCCTCACAAATACAAACTCATCATTTCATTATCTTCATTGCTAAAGAGAGATATAAGACCATTTAATTTTCAATGGGTTTTAATTTTGCAATTATCATCAGAGTAAACATACTTTTAGCCTTAAATCTATCATGCTTCAATCCTTAAAATGTTTTATATACGAAAAAAAATGTTTTATATAAGTATATCTGACTAAATATAGACATTTCACATTACCAAGTAATTTAAAAGGAAAAACATACTTTGTATTTCTCATACTTCATATTCAGGAACTTAGCTATTATTTGTATAACCAATAAAAAGATTTTCTCCGTTGCCATAAATAAATCACACTGGTTGTATTTAAAGAGTATCATCTTAGTGGATCATTAGTGTATAACTATTAGTACATGAATATGTAATTTCATAGATCTTTAAATTATGCACTGATGAACCAAAATATATAATTTCCTTGACTGGCACCTAATAAAGTATACAATGCTTTCAAAATAACAAAAAGTTTATAGAAATATTCTTTTTCTAAGCATACTCAAATTCAACATTCAATATTATTTTATGACAATAGAGCCTTATATATATAGCTTTCAAAACAAAAAAAAATAATTTATCTGTAAACAAGCATTGTGGGGAAAAACTATTACTTGGAGAGGTTGGAAGCAGGAAATTCATGTTTTGGTTCAGGGGAAAACAAAGATGAAGAGCTACTGATAGCCTTAGAAGAGAAAAAAGAAATCTACTTTACACCATTCCTTAAAGTTCTTCTAAAATAAAGGAAGGGAAAACAATGCATTGAAGCTTATATACTGTCAAGTCCTGGCTACCTGGAGAGGAGTCTTCTAAACTTCCAAGTTTCTATAAATGCTCCAAACTGAAAAATCTGTGGTAAAGGGAATGGAATCATACAGTGAGGGAAAAACAATCTCTAAAACTACAACCACAATCAATCACAAACAAATATTAAACCCAAACAATGTAACAGATTCACCTGACACACAGGAAAGAAATAAGGGACTTAGTTAAAAAGGAAAAATTAGTCCAAATGTAACCACCAATGACAGGAAGAGGTAAACTGTAGTGAAGAAGAAAAATAAGATAATATAGCTCAGCAGTCTCAAACAGCCAACAATTCTGTAGTCCTTTAAAAAAAAAACAACATTTTGGTATAGTATGGTGGTAGAGAGAGTGGACATTCACATCAGATTGCTTTATTCTGAATCCTGGCCCCATCTCTTATAAGCTATGTTGATAACTACATTATGGTTATGTAAAAGAATACATAAAAATATTTTTTAATTAAAAAATAAAATAAAGAATACAACTATTCGTAGGGAATATTCGCTGACATATTTAGGGGTAAAGGACTATGATACATAATATATGTAACTTACACTCATATGATTTTTAAAAAAATTTTAAATATGTATTCATGCATATACACTGACAATCTCCAAGCAGCAAAATTAGAATCATTATTATAATTCCTACTGAGTTCTATTTCTCGACCAACCTTTATCTTTAAATCTGTAGTGATCACAACAAATATTTATAATGAGGACTCTGAGCCATAAAAAATAAATTATACTCAACATACTAGGTTTTTAAGAACATGGAAACATACAGCACATAAAAGAAAGGTTTCTATCAAAATATAATTCTTTAAGGTATAATAAATTTAATGTCAATCTGAAATTTTACTATCTCTAAACATTCAGTTCCCAAAGAACCCCCCAAAAATGATTTTTTAATATAGCTCCTATATCTAAAGAAAACTTTACATAACAGAATTTAAATTCTCATAACTTGGATCCCATGGTTCTTTCCTTACATCAAGTCCAGAACCATAATCATAGAGTCAATCCAGATTTTTCTGCCTTGACCATCAGAGCCAGCACTGTTTCTCTTCTTTCTAGCTTCCTGAAGCAAGGATGCAGACCATCATACTGCCCAGATTGGCTACCTTGACAATTCTGCCAAAGCTTGCCTTGGTGATCGCATTTATCGATAATGAAACTGGTTCTACATATACTATTAAGATGGAAATCTCCTTCCAGTATATTAGATTCTATCTCTAGAGAGGGTCAAATACTCAGTGTACCCAATTTTCATGTGGCATTAAAGACAAAAAGGGACAAGCAGGCAAGGGTCAATGGATCCCTCTCTACTTGCCAAAAAAGCACTAAGCTAAACAGTTGAAAACTGAAGGAGTTAAGCAGGTATTTTTCCACAGATATTAAAATGACCCCTTCTCAACACTAAATAAAGCAAATATAGTCTCTACACCTCCAGGAGTGCCATAAAATTCTAAAAACTCCCCTGCCTCTTTACTTAACATCACATATAACATGACAATAATCTTATCTTGCCTCAATTCAATTAATATTTTTGTCCATTTTCTTATTCATTTAACGGAAACCTAAGAATCATTATGTAAACTCTAATTCTTACCAAAAAGCCAGCAGTTACAGATTATTTTCCTACTATTTTTATATCCCCAAAAGACTGCTGAAAGGGGAACAGGTTGCCACTGAGAACCTCAAACCACTTTCCTTCAAACTCAGATTTCCTTAGACTTTGAAACCTAAGTCAGATGGGTTCCTGAGATCATTCTGGTCAAAAAGAGTGAAAATAAGTTATTTTAATGCCTTCTTCAGACCAATGCACTCAAAGCAACATTATTTTCCCTTTCATGAGTTTAGTGTCACAAGTCATCACAATAAAAAAATGTGAACAAAACAAATTAATCTACTATTAAGCTACATCAATTTCCCCAATCTTTGTTTTACAACTGGGTACACAACTTATAAGGTTGACTGAAGACAGATATTTATACTAACCTTAAAATTCTGATCTACGTCATCTTCATTTTCAGTTTCGTTTTCGGCTTCTAAGTCAATATCGTCGTTGTCATCACTTTCATCTACTACGTCATCCACTGTGACATAAAACGTGCTATAAGTAGGTCAGAGGTAAGCATTCTATAACATGCACATCCAAAGACAGGATGCTATATACAAACAACACTGGTATTTCCATCACCAAAGAAAAAGTTAATGAAATTCCTTATTAAAAAATGTCTCTAAGGCTGTGCTAGGTGTTGAAAGTCTATGAGATAAAGTGAAAGTACTTTAAAATTCGAAAAAGTACTTTAAAAATGTATGGGTGTTTTTTACCCATGTTCTCTGTTTTTAAAATGAATGTCTTCTGTTGCAACAGCCTGAATGAAACATCTTACTTCCTGTAAGTGACAAATTTCAAGAACTGGTTTCATTCCTTTAACAACTGACTTCTCATTTGTTTCAATAGCTACCATGTGTCATGTGTGCCATACTGTATGCTGAGAACTTTTTATTTTTTTTATTTTTTTTTTGAGAACTTTTTAAAATATGTGTATAGTCCCTGTCCTCAGAAAGCTTGAGTGGTTAAAGAGCAGAAAAGAGTAAACAGGTAACTACAATACAAAAGTATAAGTTAATGAAGGCAATGTTTGGGAAAACAAAGGATGGAATAACTAACTGCAATCTGCCTGGAGTCAAGAGACTAAGAGTGATCACTCCACAAAACAGGTAATTATTAAGCAGTATCCTGAAGAAAATACAGTAGCTTTCTAGGCGAGCAAAGGAGTGGTTGAGTATGGCTTTTAAGAAAAAGATGAAAGTAAGTAAAGAGTTGAGATGATATTCTTGGAAAACAGCAAGTGTGACTAAACTTGTATGCTTGGGAAAGTACTAAGAAAGGCAAGTAAGAATGAGGAAATGAAAGGTACAGTAGGCCAAGCAGTTTAGATTCTTAACCTATGGAAGACAAGCACTGAGAATTTTCAGTGCTTGAGAGGTGAATGGCTTAATTCAACTTAACAATGCTCAAAAGACCACTCTAAAGGTGAGAGAGGAAGCACATATGTGGAGGAGATCAAATTAAAAGGAGACAGTGACTTTCTGGATCAATGCAGCAGGAACGGGGATGATATTCATATTCAAACTCAGAGAACACATTATGAAGGGACAAGAGGAACATGACTGTGAGGAAGACAAGGCAAGATGAGTGGAAGAGTATTCAGAGGTAAGTGAGTGCTTTAAAACAAACTAGAGAATATTTTAAAAGGACATTTTTCTAAAATATTTAATTCTATTGAGGAAGAACTGACACATATTAATTGTATATGTTTAAGTGTGCAATGTGATCATTTGATACAAATATACATAGTAAAATGATTACCAAGATGAAGATAATTAACACATCCATCATCTATACAATTAACATTGCTAACAGTGTGTGTGTGTGTGTGTGTGTGTGTGTGTGTGTGTGTGTGTCGTGAATACTTAAGAGCTCCTCTTGGAAACGTCTAAGTACACAACATCGTATTATTAACTATAGTCACACCAAGCTATTCATTAGATCATCAGAACTTGATCTTCTTAAACCGAAAATCTATTTTCAGTTTAAATCAAACCCTTTGACCCTATCACCCCATCTATCACCCCCCTCATTGCTGGCATCCAACATACTAGAATATCTAGTACTGTGTTGAATAGAAATGGTGAGAGTACATCTTTGTTTTCTTCCTGAGTAAGGGACAGGAAAGAAAGGGCTAGTTGGGAAAGACAGATAGGGGGTTATAGGATCAAGCTCACAGAAATCCCAAACATGCTGAGGTATAAGGAAACCAGATATAAAGGAACAAATCAGACCACCCCACCCTAGGTGTGGGTAGGCAAGGTATCTTTTTTATGACAGTCATCTGTGACTCACAAAGAGTAACCAGACCCCAAAGAAGAAGTAAGCCATTAAAGATGTTATCACCAGTCCTTACTCAAACTAAGACTTCAGAAGAATAAGGCCATAAGCTCCCTGGTCAGTTCTAAATAAAAGACTGTCAGAGAGGCTCACAATGGCAACCGTGTCGGATCCCCCCTCACTTCTGAGAGCTTTTCCTGTATTCTTGCTTAATAAACTTCTATCACTTTACTCACTCTCCTTTGTCCACAAGATTCATTCTTCGACTCCATGAGACAAGAACCTAGCTCTTGCACTTCATTCCTGATCTTATAGGAAAGGCTTTTAATTTTTTACCATGGAGAACAATATTAGCTATAGGCTTGTCATACACGGTCTTTATTATGAAGAGGAATATCTCTTTTTTAACTAACTTGTTAAGGATTTACCATGAAAGGATCTTGAATTTTATCAAATGTGTTTTCCGTATCTATTGAGATGATATGATTTTTATCCTTCATTATTAACGTGGTTTATCACATTTTGATTTGTGGATGTTGAAATGTTCTTGCATACCAGAGACAAATTCCACCTGATCATGGTATATGATCCTTTTCATTTGTTGTTAAAGTCAGTTTGCTGTTACTTCGCTACGGATTTCTGCACCTATGATCACCAGAGATACTGATCTGTGTAGGAGTGCTGATAACGCGGATTCCTTTGGCCCTCCATCTTGTTCGTGTCCGCACAATGACCTCTCAGGGCACAGTTATGCCCTGACCAGGAAGCAGAAAGGCTTGTTCTGATCTTCGCTAAAGTGGTGCACTACTTTGGATACCTAGTAAAGATCCTCTGGCACACATATGGCACCACTTTTAAGAACTACCCTTTTACCTCACCACAAATGTCCCTCACTCTAGAAAAGCTGTGGATTCTGGTCTAGACTGGCCAAAGAACGGCTGTGTAGCAGCAGCACCTGGATCGTGCACTCTCATCAGTAAGTTACCCTGAATAAAACTCTAAATGGTATGGAGGGAAAGTGCCCTCTTAGTCTGGAGGATGTATTTGAGGATACAGTTGCTTCTTCCAGACTTTTAGGACTGATTGGCTTGGATGGGGAAAGACTCTCATCTGAAAACAAACATGAGCACACAGGTTGGGGAGGTTCTTTGTGTCTTCTTCAATGTCCTTCATCAATGTCTTACAGTTTTCAATGTACAGGTCTTTCAACTCCTTGGCAAATTTATTCCTTTTTGTTATTGTATAGGGGACTGCTATCTTAATTTCTCTTTCAGATAGTTTATTGTAATTGTATAGAAACGCAACTGGTTTTTATACATTTGATTTTGTATCCCACAACTTTTTTCCTGAAAAGGCACAGCAACACAGTCTCCGGGCAAAAAGTATGCGCTACAAAAATGTCTGTTACTACTTCTGTTGCTTGAGCGACTGTGGTACTGCCATAGGTCACTGTGTAACATCAGCTCAGTTCATCCTAATTAATATCACTTTCAACTCTTTTGGAATTCAATTCTTTTGGAAATAGCAAGGGTTAAATATTGATACTGCACAGTAACTTGGGTCTATGTATGCGAATGTACGAACCTCAGTCAGTCATGGACAAACAAGGGAAGAGCTGACATTCAGAGAATGAACTACAAGAAAAAAAGAAAGGGACTGAATTAAGAAAAGCCTAATGCAAACAAGAAAGATGACTGCTTGGACAGGGAGAAGGGAAAATGCAGTTTAGTGTCTGAGAGAAAATGTTTTTAATTTTTAACCAAATCTTCCAAAGTATTTTCCTTTACATGGTTTTTCCCTTTGGTCCAGATGTCAAATGCCATATAGCTTAGGGTGTCTGAGCCTTTTTCTTCTCTTCCAATGAATAATATCAACTATTACAGCTTAATTATACAATTAAAATAAAGGACTATAAATCAATCCTTGTCGTGGTTTTCAAAATGTCCTTGGCTCATTAAGTAAAAACTAAAATACAGGGAAAAACTTAAATGCCTATCAACAAGAAGCTAATTAGATAAATTATACTAAATCTATATGACATAACAACTAAAAGGAATGAGTCAGTACTTTCTGTAAGGTTTTGGAAAGTATATTCCAAGGAGTTTATTTTGTTTTTGCTATTGCTCCTGTAAATGTGATCTACTTTCCTCTTATGTTTTCTATATGGTTTTGTTCATGTATCTAAATATATAACACATACACAGGAAACCTACTGACTTTTATATATTTCCCTTGTAAACAGTACTTTATTGAACTTTTATTTCGTCTAGATTAAGTTTTTAAAATTGATTTGCTTGGATTTTCTACACAGACAATAATATTCTCCACAGATACTACTAACTTTATCTCATCCATTTAATGCCTAAGACTTTCCTTTTCTCTGTCTTATGAATTTGTCTAGAGCTTTCAAAATGATGTTAACTAACAATGGTTGAAATTCTGTAACATTTTGCTACCATTTGTGACAATGGCTACTGATAGGAGTTGGAGAATATCCAGCTTGTTTGGGAAATATTCCTGGATTCCTTAAGAAATTTTATCTGGGGATGCCTGGGTGGCTCAGCAGTTGAGCGTCTGCCTTCAGCTCAGGATGTGATCCCAGAGTTCCAGGACTGCATCCAACATCATCAGGCTCCCTGCATGGAGCCTGCTTCTCCTCCCTCTGCCTCTCTCTCTGTGTGTCTCTCATGAATAAATAAATAAAATCTTTTTAAAAATTAAAAAAAATTTATCTGGAACTAAGAATTTTATTAAATCTCTTCACAGCATTTACCAAGGTAATCATTTGCTTTCTTTTTTTGATCTACTGATAATTTTATTAATTATATCTTAATATTACAATGAACTTACTTTTTAAAAAATAATCCTTACTTTGTCAAGGTGCCGTATACATTAAAAATATGACTCAATCCAATTTGCTAATATTTTAGGATTTTTACATTTATTTTCATGAGTGACAATGACCTCAGGTTTTAGTTTATTCCTACTAGTTTTGATTTCAACATCAAGCTGCTTCTAAACTTTCCCTTTTTTCTATGCTCTGGAAAACAAAGCAGAGAAAACTTTCTTGAAAGTTGATAGTTTCTTGAAACTATCACATCAGCAGCATTTGGTGTCTTCATGTAAGGCAACCTGACATGACAGCATATTCAGTTGCAGGTTTTCTACTATTTAAGTCGATTCTAGTTACTCATATTTGTCTAAAATACTGTCCATTTCAATCATATTTTCAAATGTATTAACAGGAGTTATCTTCTGCACCCACTTTTGTTGGTTAAACCTCCTCAATTTAATTTGCAAGAACTGAGAGGTATAGTAAAACCAACCCATAAGATTGTGTTTCTGTGAACTTCTTTTCATTCAGTGATTGTAGTTTCACCTATCTTTGCCCTAGTATTTATGGCATATCTGTTATTACCTAATTTGTATAAAATAACCCCTGCCGTTTTAAATTAAACACTTGTTCTGTGTAATATTGCCTTCCTCATCTCTTTTAAGGGAATAATACCTACACATCTGCCCATTTTTTTATACTTTCAAACTTCATACTTTCAAACTTTCATCTTGCTATTAAGAGTCTCCAGTACATATCAGCTACTTAGATTCTGGGTTGTTTTGTTTTGTTTTGTTTTTTTAAGGTTTTATTTATTTTTTCGTGAGAGACACAGGCAGAGAAGCAGGCTCCATGAAGGGAGCCTGACGTGGGACTTGATCCTGGGTCTCCAGGATCACGCCCTGGGCCAAAGGCAGTGCTAAACCACTGAGCTACCCGGGCTACCCTAGATTTGGTTTTTAACCCAACCACAGATTCTTTCCTTTGATCCATTTATTTTTTTTAAAATTATTTGACAGAGAGAGAGAAATAAATATTGACAGAGAGAGAAATAAATAAAGATTATTTATTTATTTGATAGAGAGAGAGAGAGACAGTAAGAGAACACACAAGCAGGGGGAGCAGCAGGCAGAGGGAGAAACACACTCCCCACTGAGGACCTGACATGTAGCTTGATCCCAGAACCCCGAGATCATGAAGGCAGATGCTTAACCAACTGAGCCACCCAGGAGCCCCAATTCATTTAGATATCTTATTACTAAAACCGATTTGCTTCTTCTTGCTTTGTATTTTGCACTCTCAGGATTTTTGTGCATCTCTGAAGTTTCCTTGCTTTTCTATAGCAATAATAAATGAGCCTCCTCCAGACTTTTCTCCCCCCCAAAATAAATAAAATATATCACTTTACATAAAATTTCAAAATGTTCATAGTCTCAGTCCATCCATGGATTCCTATGATTCAACAGATCCCAAACTAAGGATCTCTGTTTCAGATGTTAGTTTTACATTTTAAAATCCGTATCTGAACCACTATTTCTGTAATTATTTTAAAAATGCCAGAATAGTGTAATATTCCTAAGAATAGGAACCCAACCAATATAAACAATATAAATTATATTAAACATAAATGTATATTCTAGTTTATTTGTGTAAAAGACCCACTTTGTTATAGCTGTGAAATATGTATCCTTGGCCAAGAGTTGGTTGATGTATTCCAGACAGTATGACAATTATTTAGTATTATGTAATTAACAATTTGTAATGTTTAATACAATGATTCTGCTACCATGTTGTCTCTATTCTTGTCATTTTAATTCATCACCAGCCAGCCTGGAGTAATATTTCATGTAATTAATTCAGAAAGGGTTTCTGATAATCTACTTCCACACCTTTATATACCTAAGAATATGTCCCTTCACATAGGGATGGCAACTCATAAGTGTTCAGAAATCTTGAATGAGTACTTTTTCCTCCAAATCTCTATAGATGCTGCTTCATTATCTTTGGGCATTTAATATTCTAGAGACAAAGCCTTCAGGTCAGCTCGATTCCTTCATCAACAAATGTTAAGTATACACTGTGTCCAATAGATGCTCTAGATAAAATGAAGGGGAAAAAAAAAACAACAGTTCTATCCTCATGGAACTTATATCCTAGCTGAGGTAAAAAATAATGAAAATTGTGACCTATGTAATGAAGTCTGATATATGAAAAAGTAATGGTGAACAGAAAGAGGGTATTTTCCTTACGCCTGCACAGTTCTGTCAAAACCCTCCTCTCACATCTTAATCATGAAGACCTGTTTAAATCTCCATTTCTAATTTAATCCATTAGTCTGAGATGAGACAGGAAAGGAGCCCTCAGAAAAATATCATCACTGTCAATTTCTCCCCAGGTCTGATGAATTCACTGCACTAGAAGTCAGCTTTCTCTACCTAAAGACAGTAGGAACGGGGTATGTCCTGTGTCCTATATCACTCCCGGTCTTACCACCTGCTGTATCATACAGAAGTATCCCCAAGCTTCCTACCAGTTACAAGCACCACTTCAGCCCCCATCATCCTACACTGAGATACAGGAAAGAAAGGCACTCCCACTGCTCCTTGATCGTCCCTCCAAGTTAAGTGTTACTGGCATCTCCTCCACGCAGGACTCAGTCAGACTGAATTCACAGAAGGGTAAGCAGAAAGTTGATGTTGTTTATTAGTATATCCCTACCTCCAGCATGTTTGCTGCATGTTCTGTGTTTCAGGAGAATGCTTCTTTTACCTTGTTTTCACTTTTGCTCAGATTTTCCCCTATTTTTAAAGTCTGCTAGTAATTTTAAAGGCAATGGGAAAGAGAAATTAGATCACTTTTTCACTTTGCTATCTTACTCAAGTCCCAGACTGACTTGCAGACTTTTTTTTTTTTTTTTAAGATTTATTTGTTTTTATTTGTGATAGAGAGAGAGAAAGAGGCAGAGACACAGGAGGAGGGAGAAGCAGGCTCCATGCCGGGAGCCTGACGTGGGACTCGATCCCGGGACTCCAGGATTGCGCCCTGGGCCAAAGGCAGGCGCCAAACCGCTGAGCCACCCAGGGATCCCCAGACTTTTTCTTTTTTAAAGGAAGTTTCTGAATAATCCATTTTGGTATTTTGCATAGACTAAATACTTTGGTATTTTGCATAAACCTGTACTTTTATACTAAAATATTTTTAAAATAAAATCATAATGGTGGACTCTGCAATATATACCATTAACAAATCTCTATCAAGGATAATAAAACATATAATCACCTGAAAATTCTCTTAAGTCACTTACTTCAAGTAATTGCTTTTAAATATAAATATAAATTTTATAATATAAAATTTTTCTCACAAAACAGTGATCAACTGATGAGGAAATACTTTAGAAATTCTAATAATAGTCTATCTAGACTATATTCTCTTTCTCGTTTTGCTAGATCTTACCCAAAAAAATTCTACTTTTTCCCTACATTAAGAAATTTCAACTCCTACTTCTATGTTCCCAGCACTAATGAAAATGGCAAACAGCCAACTTCTGATAATTTCATTATTTTCATTCAAGTAAGTCATATGCACGTTTTGTTAAGCATAAACTATAAAATTTTTGGTGATTAGGTATTCTTAAAAAAAATGAAGTTTATCAAAAAGTTATAAATATAAGTCCAAATAATTTGTTACCTAAACATTCTTATCCTTTGAAAATTTATGTAACCTATGAAATAATATTCCTATGTAATGTTTAAATTTTTTCAAATTCAAATTTACATTTATATGTAACACATTCCACACCACTTCCCTTAATTATCAGACCCCAATTTCTTATATTTGAAGAAATAACTAAAATATGTGAAAGTGTACTGTGTTCATTAAGGTCTCCTTTTGCTATTAACTGGAAACGAGTAAAAAAAGTCAACAGTCACACAATGCCAAGAACCATGGAAAGCCAGCAGTAAACGTGCGGTCTTACCTTCAGGGGGTAAACTGTAGAGCTGGGCCACAGGCCCCGTCACAGGAATAACTGGCAACTGGAAATGGAAAGAACTTTTAATCGTTGGGAGTGGCAGGCGATTTTTAGGAAAACACTTCCTCATGATCAGACTGGAGGTGTTGACAAGAGGATCAAGGGTCCTGACTGCCAAACATTCCTGTTTTTTAAGAAGAAGGTAATATGCCTTTGGTGAATAATTGAATCAGTTTTACATTACTTCATAAATATATCAATAATTTTCAAGAGACAAATATCACAAAAACCAATATTTAAATGTAATATGATTATGCAATAGCTTTGGCTATTCAGAAGTATCTCTTCATAAGTAAGAACTTCATGTGGCAAATTTAGTAAACTTTTCCTAAAATACCTTAACCAAGCAGAAATCAGTACCATCTTTGGCACCAAAAGTCACCAAAGTATATTAGTCCCCTTTTATCCCTGATTTTCCATGGTCAACTGTGGCCGAGCACAAATGATCTTCCTTTGGACCTAAGACCAACTGTCAAAAGATCAATATTAGCCCTAATGCTATAAGACAACATACCTACATTATTTCATCTCACTTCATCACATCACAGGGGCATCTCACATTATCATAAGAAGGATGAGTACAGTTCAATAAGATATTTTGAGAGGGACCATATTCACTTAACTTTTATTATAGTATATTGTTATAGCTGTTCTATTTTATTATTAGTTGTTAATCTCTTACTGGGCTTAAGTAATAAATCAAACTTTATCGCAGGTATGTATGTATAGGAAAACATATATTGTATAAATAAGGTAGAGTACCATCCAAGGTATCAGGCATCTAAGATCCAGGGGATCTTGGACTGGATCCCTAACAGATAAGGATGAATTACTGTGCTAAGTAATATCTGAGTGACCTACGAGGCATTTAGCAAGCCTAGGTCATAAAAGAAAAATTCTTTTTAATTTAAGGGACAAAGGAAAAAAAAACATTAAGCAAAAAAGACACTAAGAAAGGTATAAGAAATAAAAAGGAACATGCGCTGACTGGGTCTTTCTCAGAACCCTATCAATTATTATACAATAATACCTCTAATCAGTTGGCTCTTCAACTTATTACAAAAATAGCCTGAAATACCATGATTTTAAGTTTTAAGAGTTTAATGCACTATCCTGGTATCTAATCTTGACAAGGGCTAATGGACAGAATATTTGAACATATAACATACAACACTATTATTATTATTATTATTATTATTGACAACTGGCATTTAAAATTTTTTTAATATTTTTTTTTAATTTTTTATTTATTTATGACAGTCACACACAGAGAGAGAGAGGCAGAGACACAGGCAGAGGAAGAAGCAGGCTCCATGCACCGGGAGCCCGACGTGGGATTCGATCCCGGGTCTCCAGGATCGCGCCCTGGGCCAAAGGCAGGCGCTAAACCGCTGCGCCACCCAGGGATCCCGACAACTGGCATTTAGATAGCACTTTGACATCCCATAAAATCTTCAATACAGAGCGGGGCATGATGGCAGAAGAGTAGGGTCCCCAAGTCACCCAACCCCACCAAATTACCTAGATAACTTTCAAATCATCCTGAAAACCTATGAATTCGGCCTGAGATTTAAAGAGAGAACAGCTGGAATGCTACAGTGGGAATATTTCGCACTTCTATAAGGTAGAAAGAGGGAGGGGGGGAGAAAATAAATAAATAAAGCATCCAGTCGGGGAGGGGCCCCCACGAGGAGCCTGGCTAAGGCCAGGTGGTGAGAGCTTCCAGGACAGGAAAGCCCAGTCCCAGAGAAGCAGGAACTTTACCAATCTTCCCGGACAGAAAGGTGCTCGCAGGAACTCGGACAGGATCCCAGGAAGGGCAGTGGAGCCCCGAGGTTCCCAAGGTCACTAACAGAGGAAGTGTGCCCCAGGGGAGAGCGTGCCACACACCGCGGGCCAAGCTCCCTAAAAGACTCCAGTGCATGCCCCGCGTGTGCCCGGTGGGGCCCGGGAGCAGCTCAGACAGCAGCTCTACACGGAGGGGGCTGTGCAGCTCCAGGAGCACGATTCCAGCAGTGCAGGCCCCGGAGCCCAAGGCGCTGGGAGACACAGCCCAGGATCTGGTGCTCCCCTTGGGACAGGCGGAGGCTGGGAGGACACAGGAGAGCAGGGACACTCCAACCACTGAGCGCCCCCAAGCTATGCAGATCAGCTCTCCCCGCCCCTGGAGCATCCAGGCCTCTGCGGACTGGGAGACTGCGGTACTTATTGCTGGAGCTGACTCCTGAGCTGGAGAGCTGGCCGCCACCACTGTTGTTCCTCCTGGTGTCACCTTGTGCCTGGGATGAGCCTGGCAATCAGGGAGCAGGGGCCTCAAAGGATAAACGGCTCCCACTGAGCAGTGCACCTGGCAGGGGGTGGGGCAGCTCCCACAGGTGCACACACCTGAAAATAAGCAGAGAAGGCCCCTTCCCCAAAAGACCGACTGGAAGGACAGGGGAAGAGCAAGTTCTTGACCAAGCAGTGCTGGAAAGCTCCAGGGGAAGTCGAGGGATTTACAGTATATAGAACCAGAGGATACCCCTCCTTGTTTTTTGTTTGTTTGCCCTTTCTCTCTCTTTCTTTCCTTTCTCCAGTACAACTTGTTTTTAGCCACTCTGCACTGAGGAAAATGACTAGAAGGAAGAACTCACCACAAAAAAAAGAATCAGAAACAGTACTCTCTCCCACAGTTACAGAAGTTGGATTACAATTCAAAGTCAGAAAGCAATACGGAAGCACAATTATCAGGCTACTGGTGGCTCTGGAAAAAAGCATAAAGGATTCAAGAGACTTCATGACTGTAGAATTTAGATCAAATCAGGCCGAAATTAAAAATCAATTAAATGAGATGCAATCCAAACTGGAGGTCCTAACAACGAGGGTTAATGAGGTAGAAGAACGAGTGAGTGACAGAGAAGACAAGTTGATGGCAAGGAAGTAAGCTGAGGATTACAAAGAAAAACAATTAAAAGATCATGAGGAGGACAGCCCAGGTGGCTCAGTGGTTTAGCACCACCTTCAGCCCAGGGCTTGATCCTGGAGACCCAGGATCAAGTCCCACATCAGGCTCCCTGCATGGAGCCTGCTTCTCCCTCTGCCTATATCGCTGCCTATATCTCTGCCTCTCTCTCGCTCTCTCTCTCTCTCTCTCTCTCATGAATAAATAAATAAAATCTTAAAAAAAAAGATCCTGAGGAAAGGTTAAGGGAAATAAATGACAGCCTCAGAAGAAAAAAAATCTACATTTAATTGGGGTTCCAGAGGGCGCCGAGAGGGACAGAGGACCAGAAAATGTATCTGAACAAATCATAGCTGAGAACTTCCTTAACTTGGGGAGGGAAACAGGCATTCAGATCCAGGAGATAGAGAGATCCCCCCCCTAAAATCAATAAAAACCATTCAACACCTCAACATTGAATAGTGAAACTTGTGAATTTCAAAGATAAAGAGAAAATCCTTAAAGCAGCAAGAGACAAGAAATCCCTAACCTTTGTGGGAGGAAGCATTAGGTTAACAGCAGACCTCTACACAGAGACCTGGCAGGCCAGAAAGGGCTGGCAGGTAATAATTTTCAGGGTCCTAAATGAGAAGAACATGCAACCAAGAATACTTTACCCAGCAAGGCTCTCATTCAGAATAGAAGGAGAGATAAAGAGCTTCCAAGATAGGCAGAAACTGAAAGAATATGTGACCTCCAAACCAGCTCTGCAAGAAATATTAAGGGAGACTCTGTAAAACAAAGAGGAAGTCCAAGGAAACAATCCACAAAAACAGGGACTGAATAAGTATTATGACACTAAATCCATATCTTTCAATAGTAACTCTGAACGAGAATGGGCTTAATGATCCCCATCAAAAGGTGCAGGGTTTCAGACTGGATAAAAAAGCAAGACCCACCTATTTGCTGTCTACAAGAGACTCATTTTAGACCTAAGCCTGAAAATGAAAGGTTGGAGAACCATTTACCATTCAAATGGTCCTCAAAAGAAATCAGGGGTAGCCATCCTCATATCAGATAAATGACAGTTTATCCCAAAGACTGTTGTAAGAAATGAAGAGGGACACTATATCATACTTAAAGGATCTACCCAACAAGAGGACCTAAAAATCATGAGTATTTATGCCCCTAATGTGGGAGCTGCCAAGTATATCAATCAATTAATAACCAAAGTTAAGACATACTTAGATAATAATACACTTATACTGGGAGACTTGAACACGGTGCTTTCTGTAATTGACAGATATTCTAAGCACAACATCACCAAAGAAACAAGAGCTTTAAATGATACACTGGACCAGATGGATTTCACAGATATTTAGAGAACTATATATCCCAACGCAACTGAATACATATTCTTCTCAAGTGCACATGGAACTTTCTCCAAAATAGAGAGAAACTTTCTCATATCCTGGGGCACAAATCAGGTCTCAACCAATACCAAAAGACTGGGATTGTCCCCTGCATATTTTCACACCATAATGTTTTGAAACTAGAACTCAATCACAAGAAGAAATTTGGAAGAAACTCAAACACGTGGAGGTTAAAGAACATCTTGCTAAAAGATGAAAGGGTCAACCAGGAAATTAGAGAAGAATTAAAAAGATTCATGGAAACTAATGAGAATGAAGATACAACCGTTCAAAATCTTTGGGACACAGCAAAAGCAGTCCTGAGGGAGAAATACATTGCAATACAAATATCCATCCAAAAACTGGAAAGAACTCAAATACAAAACTTAACCTTGCACCTAAAGGAGCTGGAGAAAGAGCAAATAAAACCTACACCCAACAGAAGAAGACAGTTAATAAAGATTCGAGCAAAAATCTCTATTTTCAATGAAATAGAGACCAGAAGAACTGTGGAACAGATCAACAGAACCAGGAGTTGGTTCTTTGAAAGAATTAATAAGATAGATAAACAATTAGCCAGCCTTACTAAAAACAAAAGAGAAAAGACTCAAATTAATAAAATCACGAATGAAAAAGGAGAGATCACCACCAATACCAAGGAAATACAAACGACTTAAAAACATATTATGAGCAGCTATATGCCAATAAATTAGGCAATCAGAAGAAATGGAGGCATTTCTGGAAAACCACAAACTACCAAAACTGGAACAGGAAGAAATAGAAAACCTGAACAGGCCGATAACCAGGGAGGACATTGAAGCAGTCATCAAAAACCTCCAGGGCCAGATGGCTTCCCAGGGGAATTCTATCAAATGTTTATAGAAGAAACCACACCTTTCCTACTAAAGCTGTTCAGAAAGATAGAGATGGAATACTTCCAAACTCGTTCTATGAGGCCAGCATCACCTTAATTCCAAAACCAGACAAAGACCCCACCAAAAAGGAGAATTATAGACCATTATCCCTGATGAACACAGATGCAAAAATTCTCAACAAGGTATTAGCCAATTGGATCCAACAGTATATTAAGAAAATTATTCACCATGACAAAGTGGGATTTACCCCCGGGGAGGCAAGGCTGGTTCAACACTCATAAAGCAATCAATGTGATAGACCATATCAACATGAGAAAAAACAAGAACCACATGATCCTCTCAATAGATGCAGAGAAAGCATTTTTCAAAATAAAGCATCCATTCCTGACTCTTCAGAGTATAGGGATAGAGGGAACATTCCTCAGCATCTTAAAAGTCATCTATGAAAAGCCCACAGCAAATATCATTCTCAATGGGGAAACACTGGGAGCCTTTCCCCTATGATCAGGAACACGACAGAGATGGCCACTCTCACCACTGCTCTTCAACATAGTACTAGAAGTCCTAGCCTCAGCAATCAGGCAACAAAAAGAAATAAAAGGCATTCAAATTGGCAAAGAAGAAGTCAAACTCTCCCTCTTCGCAGATGACATGATACTGTGCATAGAAAACCCAAAAGACTCCACCCCAAGATTGCTAGAACTCATACAGCAATTTAAGAGTGTGGCAGGATACAAAATCAATGCCCAGAAACCAGTGGCATTTCTAGACACTAACAATGAGACTGAAGAAAGAGAAATGAGTCAATCCCATTTACAACTGCACCCAAAAGCATAAAATACCTAGGAATAAACCTAACCAAAGAGGTAAAGGATCTATACCCTAAAAACTACAGAACGCTTCTGAAAGAAATTGAGGAAGACACAACAGATGGAAAAATATTCCATGCTCATGGATTGGCAGAATTAATATTGTGAAAATGTCAATGTTACCCAGGGCAATGTACACATTTAATGCAATCCCTACCAAAATACCATGGGCTTTCTTCTGAGAGTTGGAACAAATCATCTTAAGATTTGTGTGGAATCAGAAAAGACCCCGAATAGCCAGGGGAATATTAAAAAAAAAAAAAAAAAAACAGAGCTGGGGGCATCACAATGCCAGATTTCAGGTTGTACTACAAAGCTGTGACCATCAAGACAGTGTGGTACTGGCACAAAAAGACACAGAGATCAATGGAACAGAATAGAGAATCCAGAAATGGACCCTCAATTCTATGGTCAACTAATATTCGACAAAGCAGGAAAGACTATCCACTGGAAAAGGGACAGTCTCTTCAATAAATGGTGCTGGGAAAATTGGACAGCCACGTGCAAAAAAAAATGAAACTAGACCATTCTCTTACACCATACACAAAGATAAATTCAAAATAGATGAAAGATCTAAATGTGAGACAAGATTCCATCAAAATCCTAGAGGAGAACACAGGCAACACCCTTTCTGAACTTGGCCACAGCAACTTCTTGCAAGATACATCCACGAAGGCAAGGGAAACAAAAGCAAAAATGAATTATTGGGACTTCATCAAGATAAAAAAATCTTCTGCACAGCAAGAGAAACAGTCAACAAAACTAAAAGACAACCTACAGAATGGGAGAAGATATTTGCAAGTGACTTATCAGATAGAGGGCTAGTATCTGAAGATCTATAAAGAATTTATTAAACTCAACAGCAAAGAAACAAACAATCCAATCATGAAATGGGCAAAAGACATGAACAGAAATCTCACAGAGGAAGACTTAGACATGTCCAACAAACACTGAGAAAATGCTCCGCCCCCTGGCCATCAGGGAAATACAAAACAAAACCACAATGAGATACCACCTCACACCAGTGAGAATGGGGAAAATAAACAAGAGAGGAAACAACAAATGTTGGAGAGGATGTGGAGAAAGGGGAACCCTCTTGCACTGTTGGTGGGAATGTGAACTGGTGCAGCCACTCTGAAAAACTGTGTGGAGGTTCCTCAGTTAAAAACAGAGCTGCCCTACGACCCAGCCATTGCACTGCTGGGGATTTACCCCAAAGATATAGATGCAGTGAAATGCCGGGACACCTACACCCTGATGTTTATAGCAGCAATGTCCACAATAGCCACCTGTGGAAGGAGCCTCAGTGTCCATGGAAAGATGAATGGATAAAGAGATTGGTCCATGTATACAATGGAATATTACTCAGCCATTAGAAATGACAAATGCCCACCACTTGCTTCAATGTGGATGAAACTGGAGGGTATTATGCAATTGAAATAAATCAACAGGAGAAGGATATACATTATATGGTCTTATTCATTTGGGGGATATAAAAAATAGTGAAAGGGAATAAAGGGAAAGGAGAGAAAATGAGTGAAAATATCAGAGATGGTGACAAAACATGAGAGACTCCTAACTCTGGGAAGTGAACAAGGGGTAGTGGAAGGGGAGGTGGGCTGGGGGTTGGGGTGATTTTGTGATGGGCACTGAGGGGGGCACTTGACGGGATGAGCACTGGGTGTTATGCTATATGTTGGCAAACTGAAGTCCAATAAAAAAGAAATCTTGAATACAAATTTTCACGTCTGACCCGCCAGAACAGATCAGAAAATAAGGCTCAGAAATGTTTAGTAGCATGAACAAAGTCACCCATCTCTTCATAATATATCAATTAGCCATCATTGTCTACATTAAGAATAATAAAAACAAGTGCATATGATTGATCTAGAAAAGAAAAAGCATAGGGCCAACATAAAGTGTGTTCAGATATCTTAACTAGTGCCATGTAGAAAGAGATCATTTGTTGTGTCTAAGACCAAGAGGGCACAGCCAAGATAATTTACCGCAATTTTAAAAAGACAGATTTCTTTCTAATAATTTTGGCCTTCTAAAAACAAAATGGTTGCATTGTAACATCCCCATTGCCCAGAGCTGAGAGTCTTCTTGCTAAAGATAGTGTCAAGAAGGTTTATGGTTAAGATGGCAGGCAGAACTAGGATTCTTAACCCCAGGTTTCACTTATTTACATTCTCTATGTAAAAGGAAGGTCTATCCAGAAGGAAGTCACTGACAACATTCGCAGACAACAGAACTGCCTTACCAGCTATAAAGGATCCATAATATCTTATGAGGGGAAGAGGCAAAACTGAGTATAAGCAACTGCACATTTTAGAAAACACGGTTATATGGATTCCCTTCCTGCCTGGTGGATGGATTTATCTATCTTCCTTTTACCTAAAATCTCATATTGCAGAGATATGCATAGAGTACTTTCTCTAACTCAGTCCGAGGAGGTCACATGAGAAATGATTATGCCTTTTGGTTTCCAGATTTTTTTTCTTAAACATACTTATCATACTTCTTTTAGTATTTATACAAATACTAAGTTTTCTTAAGAATCCAATACTATCATTAACACATAATCACAGTAATTGAGAGAAAATAAAAAACTTACTTGTGAAGTATTATACAGAATTTTCATTCCATTGGCATCTATAAATGCTTTTCTTCCCAACTTGATGTTTGTAACACTTTTTAAACTCTGTAAAATTCCTTTTCGAATGAGCATGTTTCTGTGTCGGTTATCATGGCGGTGCCAATCTACATAAATTGTTAAAAGGACTTGGACATATCCTCTGTCTACAGCTCTTCTGGCATTTGTTTCTTTAACAAAAGAAAATTGAGAAAGAACATTTTTTAAATGGTAAGAGAAAATGGTAGAATAAACTAAATTAAAAATATCACAATATTGTAATGAGTTCTTAGAATTTCTGTTCAAAAAAAATATATATATATACCAGCCACATATTTGAATATTTTTTTCTCTAACAAATGAAAAGTCTCAAATGGCAAGATACAGTATTTTCCAGGAATCTGCCCATATACTGTTTTATGGTTAAAAGATATCAAAATATCTTTAATACAATGAGGGCTATATCTTTTTAAATGTTAGTACTAAAGTTTCATGTAGTTTAAAACTTACACATATACTGACTTTAATATACCAAATAGAATATATGTCTTTACCTTACTAGCTGTGAATATGATTTTGTTTGTTAAAAGACACTGTCATTATGGTAACTTCTCTTATAAATCTTGATCCCATGAAATGAACTCCACTGGATTGTACCTTCTATTACAAACTGTGTTTCCACTGAAAGCAACTGTTTTAATCACCCCCACAAGTACATAAATATCCATGCCATAACAAGACTAAATTAAAACTACTTATACAACTTTTAGTAAATGAAACGTAAGGAGCACTTTACTGCTTTCTGGTCATTAATTATCTACTGTAATGAAAACTACATTAAAGAATTTTTTTGTAAGCGGTTTATTTTACTGGGGTAGAATTAACAGAAATCCACAAATTTGATCTACTTTATTATTTTTAAAGTGTTAATATTTTAGATTATTAGCCAAAAGGGTACATTTCACTAAAATGGCAGTAGGGGAACCCTATCATTAGCAACATCCTGAGCCACCCAGCACCACATAGGTGAGCCATGATGAAGAGCACAAATTAATGTGGAATACCAATTTATCTGAGCTTGTTTAGTTGCAAAGAAATTCCAATCTCTCCCTCACCCAAGCTGACCCTGCCTCATGGCATAGGCACTAAGACAATGTAACAGTAAGGTAAGGCTCTGCTGCTTTTAGTTACCTGAAAAAATTACTACAGTATCGAAATTCCTAATACATACCTAGAACACAAAGATACTGAGATCAACAAACTACTAAGGCTCTCTCTGAAACCCTGTTCTGACCTTGGAGAGCTAGAAGAAATTCATGTGGCAGGGATAGCGGCTTTCTTATGTAAAAACTTTAAAACCTCTTCTGTGTCTTCAAGAGCTAGTTGGCCAAGGCTGTGGCTATTTACACAATCAGGTCAATAGTATTTTATTGGAATTTTATTATTTATTATTTTATTTTAAAGGAATATACACTTTGTTTACACCACCTGGAGTATATAAGCCTTTGGTTCACTAGCTGCGTATATGATTTTCTTAAAAGACATCCAAAAAAAAAAAAAAAGATATCAGGAGCCTAAATGGTATTTATGTGAAATATTTAAATTCTTATTAAGATCAAATAAGAGACTTGCCCATAACTCCAACACAGGCGCTGAATGAAGAGAAGGGAACAAAGCTGTCTGTAATCTTAACCGAGTACAACTAAAAAGTTTAGTCTTTATTAGGCTTTTGTCATGTGTTCAGGACACCTAACGCATCATCAGTCTAGGTCTCTTCTTCCTTCTCTTGTTAAAAGACAACTCAGGTTCCCCTTTAGACTGCAGCATCTCATCTATACGCTAGCGAAGGTACCTAGGCTACCTGTCCTTCTGCACTGTGTGTGTATGTGTTCTTTGCTTTACATTTCGCTCAGGTTATCACAGTAGTCTCTTTTACCTTAAGTAAATAACTGCCCCCTCCCAAAAAACAGTTAAAAAAAAAAATCAAGGAATGTGAATGTTCCAAAATGCCACAGTGCATTTAAAAATATGCAGTGTGCTACTAAACATTATCTTGCATTAAATTTTTACCCTAGTGTCGTGTGCCCTATGAAAACATACCAGATATAAAAGTAGACTCATCTTGCTGGTCAGTTACTTTTTTTTTTTTACCTGATGGAGTAAAACAGGTATGCTTGCCCACCATCCTCCTTTGAAGGAGGAGGCAGTAAAAAGAAAGATTACTATTTAAAATGGAAGATACTAGATTTGTCATCAATTTCAATAAATAGCTGAAACTTATGAGGGTTTTAGTTTTTAATGACTTATTTATCAGTGATTTTGTCATCAGTGATTCAGAAAATTAATAAGCTTCAGTTTCAATAGCTATTTCAATCTTCTCTAAATCAAAAATATATGCTTGCCTATATTAATTTAAATGTTAATCTTTAAATAACAATTTGAACCACAAAGTCAGGGCACAACAAACCCAAGCTACAAATATCTTTTAAAATTAACCCAAGTATTCTGATTTTGGTCTAAGGTTTATCACATCAGATATGAAAATAAGACTACACGGCTCATCTAATTGAGTACCACACATTTCATTTCAAAGATAAAACTGTTAACTGAATTTTATATGCTCTGGTATATAATACTGATACCTAAAGTGATTTTTTAAATTTAATAAATCATTACCTTACCAAATGCCAGATTTTCAATCAATTAATTATTTTCTACTGTTCAAATGAACAATTCTGGTCATTCAAATTTAAGAGCAAGTTGGTCTTACAGTTTTGGGGAAAAATAACATTGAAAGCCATCATAAATCAAACTTCAATAAAAAAAAAATATATATATATATATATATATATATATATATATATATAAAGCCATCATATCCTTATGATTAAGTGTTATTATGCTTAAGATGCTAATTTAATCAACCAACAAGAATGGAAGTGCTAACAAAAGTTAATATTTAAAACACAGATACAAAAAAATAAAATAAAATAAAAACAAAACACAGATACTGAGTATCTTGGAGAGAGAAAACATAATGTAGATAAGTCACTCTCCAAAGGAATCATATCATAAAAGACATTTACTCCAATACTTCAATTTTGAAAATAAAACAGTTGCTTTAGTTTATAAATGAACTCAATATTAATAAACTGTAAATTTACAATAGTCATTTTTAATGTTACTTGAACTTGATAGAAATAAAATTTCTAATAAGAGGTTTCTAAACTAAAATCACGTGTTTGACATATAGGTGTTCACCATATTCTTCATAGTAAATATCCTCAATATCATGTTATCACTTCACTTTTGAAAAGATGATACGTATATTTACATATTACCTGCCTCTATTAACAGGACTTTATATAATGAACTTATAAAAAAGGAAGTCAATGTACTTGAATAAATTACATAAATGTACTATATTGTAGCTCAATAAACAGAAATGACATTACGTAAGACGTATATCGATCAACCATATGAAAAAAACAGAATCAACTTTGACATTAAATTTAACTAAAAAAAAATAATAATAAATAAATAAATAATTAATTAAATTTAACAAACTAGCTTTACAACTACAGACTAAATCTACATTTCCAGTTTCTTTAACAGTTGATAGAATACTTGGAAAAATAGTATCTAGTATTTCTAGTATTTAAAAACTTACTTGATTTTAGCAATGCAGCAAGAGTGTCTAAAGCAACCCTGTCAACATGAGAAAACACAAACAACAACAAAACTAGTAAAATTAATCTACAATAGTAAATTCATACAATCTTTTCAGATAAGTTATTATTATCTATTCCAAAAGTCATTCCTGTTATAGTCAATTATATATGGTGTTTCTCTGAATGCACCTCTCCCTTCAGGTTAAAACTGGATATGAGAAAGATAGAAATATTAACAGGCAATCATCAAAAAAAATTTTAAGGAAGAAAAAAAAGACAATATTTAAGTCTATATAATGGAGATTAGATAAATAGAGTCAATTATTATACTTGTATCTGACCTGGACAGAGTTCACAAAATAACAGTATAAAGAATCAAAGGCCCTGATTCACAAAAAATTAAAAACAAGTTTTAAGACAAAATTCTTAACTACAAAATTCTATAGGTATTCATAGCTATCTGACTTTAAAATGTTTTAGTTCTATCAAACAATAATCCTAATATTTAAGGTGATAACAAATGTAAAATATTTTGGAACTAGGAAATTTGGGGAGAAGTATGAGCCCTTAACATTTTTTAGCTATAAGGCACCGAAGAGAATAATGAACCTAATATCTCAAAAACCCTTACTGTCCATTAAAGGACAAAGGAGTTGCCCAAAAACTTATATTTTTTTATAAAATGCACTTATATTTTCTTTGAACATAAATATTCAAATACGTACAGTGAAATCAACTGCCATTAATTAGTCTGAAAAAAGCACAGAACATCATTGTGGAAAACGTGTAATTCAAATATTTTTGTAAAAATAAGTTACTGAAGAAATGGGACTTCATTTCAGTAACTTTAAAAATATAAGGCTACATACTACAGTACCTCTTAGCAAGATTTCAACAACTATAATTAATTTGCATAAAAATATGCACTTTGTGAAACTTAAGCATGTCACTCATCATTAAGCATTTGTTGAATGCCTACTAGACACCCCCAGTAGCAGGTTCTTCGTTAGTATAAAATTAGCAAACTTATCTCTTCCACAAACAATTTTACAATCTAGATAATGGGATAAAATGTACACAACAATGAAAAAACTACTCAATAAATTAAAACCAAAAACAAAGCAATAAAGTAAAAGCTGCATACAATAGTGTAAAGGAGACCCAGCATGACCGAGTATGTAAAGGCAAAGAGCACAATCAACTAAAAGCCTGAAGATGGGTACTGGTTCAGAGTAAAACCTGCAACAGTTATCTAGGACTAGGCACAGAGTAAGTGTTCATTTATAATAAATGCTCATTAATGCTACCCACCAAACCAAGTCATTAACAGCTACACTTTGGTCTACTGTCCAAATAAAGCAACCATATAACCTTTATTTAAGATAACATTCATAAAAAGAAAAACAAAAATATATCCTTTAAAAAATATTACATATTCAGACCTGGAACTTTCTCAAAACAATGTGAAGTTTTGACAATGGTCACTTAAAAGTAAATGAAAACTATGAAATTAATACTGACTTTTCATAGCACTAAATCATTAGTAAGAAACTTTCTATAACCTTACAATTATGCAATAAAATGTACTTAAATTGTATACAGCTACCAGCATGAGGATGGCTTTGAAATTGGTCAAAAGTAAACACAGAACTAAAGGGAATTCCCAAGTGAAACAGCAATATAAAATATGAACTAGAAAAGAAGCAAGATCTGATAAATGTCAGAAATTGTTGTAGGTGCCTTAGATATGTTTTCTAGTTTAATTCTTAAAATAATCCTGATCCATCAAACTGGCACATTTTATGGATAAAGAAATGAAAGATTTCAGAATATAACGCACCTAGGGTTCCATAAAAAACAAGATGCTATGGAAAGTGAATAATATAAGCCCCCTGTTGAGAAAGAAATCAGAAATGTCAGTCTCCTCCAAAATAGATTTTTAAGTCCTAACCTTCAGTATCTCAGAATGTGACTTTATTTGGAAATAGGGTCATTGCAGATGTAATTAATTAAAATGAGGTCATACTGGAGTAGGTGGCCCTTAATCCGTCATGATTGGTGCCCTTATAAGAAAACAGGAGATTATGTGAAGACAGACCCACAAGGAGAGAACACCATGTGAGGAGAGAGGCAAAGATGGAAATGCTGCAGCTATAAGCCAAGAAAACACCAGATTGCCAGCAAACCACCAGCTAGAAAAGAAGCGAGGAAGAATTCTCCATAAAGGTTTCAGAAGGAGCACTGGCCTTGGTGATGGGTTGATTTTGGACCTCTAGCCTCCAGAACTGTGAGATGATAAATATCTGTAATTTCAAGGCACTGAATTTGTACTAGGTACTTTGTTATGAAAGCCCTAGGGAACAAATATAATCACTTGGATGCAATCATTTGCAATGAACTTACAGGATTTTCCCATCTAAGTTAAGTTTTTATTCAAAATTATAATAATCTTAGAATACTTTTAGAAAGTCTTTCTCCCTTGTTTGCTGTACTTTATAATACATTTGAACCACATAAAAGGGCTTCTGACAGTTTCTAATCCTTAAACTACATGTTTTTGGGTTGATATTCATTCAACATTGGCAAATCTGGGATGTGAAATGAAACCAGTTCTTTCTGACTCCAAAGCCCATCATGCTTGTTTCATAGCTGCACTAGACTAAAAGAAATTATAAAGTTTGGTGCAAAATCACCTTGATATTTTTACCAAAATGTTATTTAAAAGGTATTTTTAAAACTTCAGAACAAAAAAATTTCTGAAATTCTCTGACACTTATAAGCCACTACGAATTTATAAAAGTTACAAAAGAATTTTAGAATAACAAATTTATCAAAATGCAGTTTGTATTATATTAATTGATTAGAATTTTTCAGTTTAACTATTTTATACTTCCTTATATATTTTTCCAATCTTCCTATGTCCCACACAGAACAATACAACCAACAATTGCTTAAAAAACAGCCTGTGGCTTATTCATTTAGGAGCAATGAAGGAAGAAAAGCTCAAATCTATGTACCCATGAATTCACATCTCCTTTAAATTGGGGGGATCAATCCTTATGGGAATATACAAGAAGAACCTGTTACTTCCTGAGCTGCCTCCATCTGGATTTATATTGTTTAAATCCAAAACCTAAAATTGGAAAAGGAAAGGAAATTCTCAAAGGCAGCATCACCCCTCAAATATAAATAATAACCCTAATCTTATTCCACTAAACATAGGGTACTGTTTCAGGGGAGAAGAATGGCAAAACAAATGTTCTAGATATCAAGATTTTTTAATTAGGGGGAAGACCCTAAGATTATTAAAAATGATAAAGAGATCAAGATAGAGATATATGGTCAATGAATAGTTTATTCTTTTTAAAGTAAAAATAAAGTAAAAAATTTGTGTTTCTTCTTTAAATATAAACACAGGAAAGAATGAAGGGATAATTGAAATAGCTCTATTCTTTTCTCAGAAGTTTGGACCTACTGATTTCTACATAATTTTGGATATATCTCCCTATTTATATTATAATGACACTCATGAAATGTTCCATCTCTCCTAGGAATATTTTATGCTAGATTTGGTACCTGGCTAGAATAGACTAACATAGACCTTAAGAATAAGATCATAACCACTAGATAAAAAATAAATTTAAAAGTATTTTATTGGTCAAGAGGAGAAATAGTATTATAAATTTAAAAATAATGAATATACTTTTAGTACTAACTACAATTAGTTCATATCCACACTACATTACTTACCTAAAGTAATTACATTGCATTCATAGGCACTGTGTTAATTAGAATCATCTCATTAAACCCCCACATCAACCTTCTGACATAAGAGTTAATATTATCATTTATAGATTTGAAACCACGCATACATTAGGAAACCTACTACACATCCTGAAGTCAGTAAATGACAGAGCTAACATACAAATCCTTCTCTCCCTGTCTCCAAAGCCCACTCCAATTCTGTAACTGGTTTTACTTAATTGTGATAAATCAATTTTTGTTTTATTGCATTTCATCAGATATTTTAGGTTTGGCTGTGTGTATGATCTTTTTATAAGTAAAAGTTGAGACATCCCACCAAATAATATTTAATGAATAATTGCATGTGCAAGTAAGCTCCCATTTTCAAGGGCACAAGCTAAAATATTTGGCTTTTTTTTTTTCACCCTGACCTTTAGTTCAAAAAGAATGAAAAGACTGGAAATGTTCTGAACTTATTTGTAAAATTTAACCAAATAGTTGATGTGGACAAGTTCTTCCTCTCAAAAGAATCACAACTAATAAAAATAGAAAGAATGAGAAAATTAGAAAAGTCGCTATTTTGCAACCCGTAAAGAAATAATGGATCTAGACGATGTCATGAAATACTGCTAAATTATTAGGTAAGAAGTAGAGGAATCACTTCAATTCAGTGATCTTAAGTGGTATGAAACTGAGTACTAGCACCACATATGAAATATTTTTGACCAGAAAAAAGGAACCCAAATCTAATCAAGCCTCCAGCTCTATCAGCTACAGGAAATTCGAGGGACATACCTACATGTGAAAGGACCCCAGGATACAGTCATCTTAATCCAGAATGTTGGGACAATCTACAAGACATCACCCAGGTCCTTCAACAAATAAATAAAACAGAACCAAAAAACAGAGGAACTGTTACTGATTTTTAAAGATTATAAGACACAGTAATCAAATAAAATGTACAGATCTTATTTGTAATGTGATTGGAACTATAAAAAAAGCCAACTATAAAAAAAGACATTTCTTAGACAACCAGAAAATATTCCAGAAATAATATTCCAGAAACATTAAAAGAAAAAAGTTGTGTCTTATATGATCAGACTAAAGAATTCACAGAACAAATGTAATGGCCAATATCTGCTTCAAAATACTCCAGAAAAAAAAAGAAAGGACAGGGAAGGGAAAGCTGAGATCAAAGTGACACAATACTGGTTACTACTGAAACTGAGTGGTGGGTACGTCAGGGTTCTATTCTAGTTTTGTGCAGGTCTATAATTATTCTAGTCTATTTTTGTGTAGGTTTGGAAATTTCCTAAATGTGATGAAGCATAATGTGTGTACCTTGGTTGGATTCTGATTCTGATTCAAACAAGCCCATTATAAAAGAGCACCTTGAGACAACAGGAGAAAATTGAACACTGGCTAGATTTTAGGTTATGGTAAGGAATTAATAATTTGGTTGAGTATGACGACTTTGGTATTACAGTTATTTTTTAGGTCCCTACTTAGTAGTTTATATACTGAAGTATTCAGGGAAAAAATGATAAAATACCTTGGATTTTTTTTTTTACAGAAATTCACATACATATGTATAAATGACATCGGGATCTGCTTAAAACGACCTTAGTAAAAATAATATAGGGGAAATAAATGAAACAAAAACGGCAGAATGTTAATAACTACTGAAGCAAATAAGTGATTAATAAACCCAACTCAAAATAATCATCCTAATAATATATAAACTCTAGGTATTGTTGAATAACTCCATAATATTCTTTTAAGAATAACTTTTCATATGCCTTAAGAAAAAAATACTAAATATAACCAAATAACTAAAAACTAGAAACTGCTTTCATCTTCTGAGGCTGAAAGATCTACAAATGAATATATATCCTGTAATATGTATACATAATTTAAATTAAGAAAAAAGAAAAAGAATGACATTATTTTCACAAAAAGGAAATGTATAAATCTAAAATATATTCAGATAATTGTGTGGCGAATGAAGGATGCAGTCATTAAAAGATTGCAAACCTGGGTAGGGAATATAGTAGGCATTCAATAAATGTTTCTGAATGAATGCTACTCTATCAATACTATTTTTGTCTTATATTATCTAGGAATGTTCAACATTTAAATTTCCATAACATAATAATTCAGTGAATTTAAAGCTAATTTTAATACACCTTTGAAAATTAAACTTTATATTGAAGGAAATCTTCATTGTAATAAAATCACTATTTAAGAACTAAGAAAGGACCCTAGATACAAGTCAACCTCTGGTTGCACAGATAAGATATGAAGCCCATAATAACAAAAAGATACACCTCTATTTATACTCAAAGCATTTACTCACTTCATGAGACCCGAATTCTTCTTACTAAATGGTCCAATGATTTTAAACAGCAGCTCCACAACTCCATTTTTCCCTAAGGATACTGAATTCACAGCTAGGAGGCAGAGGAAAGGATGTGAAATGATTTTAAAACCTCAACAAGTAGCTATGTGTATTCTTGGTGATACAGAGCTAAAGACATTCACAAATTCTTTTAGTAGATCCAAGGCTTTCATGAAGTCCACCTTAGCCAATTACTTGAAGGGAAGATTTTCGGGGGGGGGGGGGGTGCTTTATTTACTACCTTGCAGGAAAATTATGAAAGAAGTTAGAAGTTATATAAAAACAACAAAATGTTACTACCAAAAAAAAGTTTTAAGTTGCTCTGTTTGTTTCTTCAACAAACTTAGTGAACTTTTAAATACCAGGGTATGGAGATTCAAGGATAAAAACAAATAGTGTGGGCCCTGAGAGAACACAGTATAGAGAGGAGTGACAAAAACAATAAACAAATAATTACTAAATTACTTTCAAACAGATTAAGAGTTGCAGGCTATGTAGGTTACAGGGGTGAGGAGCCCCAAATCCATAATGAAACTGAAGGTATCTCTGGAGAAATTGATGCCTGAGCTCAGTCTTTACTAATAAAGATGATCTAGCAGGAGTTGCAATAAGGAAACGTCTCTGGAGACAGGGATAACTCAGCAAATAGAACAGAGTCAGTGAGCACCACAGGTATGGAGTTACACATTAAAACATAGAGTATCAGGGGCACCTGAGTGGCTCAGTGGTTGAGCATCTGCCTTTGGCTCAGGTCGTGATCCCGGGGTCATGAGATCAAGTCCTGCATCAGGATCCCTGCAGGGAGCCTGCTTCTTCCTCTATGTCTCTAACACTCTCTCTGTATCTCTCATGAATAAATAAATTTAAAAAAAAATACAGTATCAAAGCAATCAGACAGTATCAAGTGGAAGATGAGATGGGGAAAAAAAGGTAAACAAATTATAAAGAGTCCTAGAAGTTGTTCATTCTTTCAACTGCAGGGAATTGCCCAATAGAAACAACCAATCAGACATGCATTTTAATAAAGGTCAGATGTCACACACAGCATTGTGGGGAAGACAGATTTGAGAGACACATTAGCAGGCTGTGGTCCTGGTGAGAGGTGATGAGGACTTAGCTAAATCAGCTGTGGTAGGGAAAAGGAAGTAACTACTAGAGAGTTTCACACAAAACATGCAAACAATTACTAACCAGAAAACTATACCTAACATTTTCAACTCTGAACAAATATATTTTAAAAATTATGAACCATAGACTGCCCGGGTGGCTCAGCGGTTTAGCGCTGCCTTCTGCCCAGGGCCTGATCCTGGAAACCTGGGATCGAGTCCCACGTCAGGCTCCCTGCATGGAGCCTGCTTTTCCCCTCTGCCTGTGTCTCTGCTTCTCTCTCTCTCTCTCTCTCTCTGTCTCTGTTTCTCATGAATAAATAAAAGAAATAAAAAAAAATTATGAACCATTTACTAGCCACCTCGTGTTAAATTGAGTAAGATACCTGCAAAAATCTAAGCAAAAGTTTTGTATGATAATTTTAATTTCTTCTGTATCTTTTTTCCATTATCCCTTCTAATTATCTCTGTGTGGTCTTCCTTTTTCCTTAGTTGGGGTATTCAATGGTTTATCTGTTTTATTTATTTTTTAATTTTATTTGAGTATAGTTGACACACAATGTTCCAACAGTTTCAGGTGTACAATTTAGTGATTTGGTAAGTTTATACAGTATACTATGTTCACCACAAGCATAGCTACTATACATCCTGTTAACATTGCTAGTAGAGCATTATTTTTTTAAGATTTTATTTATTTATTCATGAGAGAAACAGAGAGAGAGGCAGAGACACAGGCAGAGGGAGAACCCCCCCACCCCCGGCAGCCCAATGTGGGACTCAATCCCAGGACTCCAAAATTATGCCCTGAGAAGAAGGCAGACCCTCAACCACTGAGCCACCCAGACGTCCCAACATTATTTTATTTTTAATACAATCATTTTATTTCTTAAATCAACTAGGGTTTTTTTTCTAATGCATTCTTTTTTCCTGTATATTCCTCTGCTTTGCTTGTGTTTATTACTCCCTTCCTAACTTCTTTGGTTAGATATCTAATACACTCATTTCCTCTATTCTTTTTAATTACATAAGTGTTAATTATTTAAGTGGTCAAAGCTATTTTCCTATAAGCTCACTTTTAGCCATACTGTCAAAGTGTAAATATAGGTAAATAAATAATCATATACATACACACACGTGTGTATATATATTTATACCCACATCTCCACCACTTTGAATACCATTATTCTATAATATCATGTACTCCCCACAATTTCAATTTCAGGTGTCCTGCTAACCACTCCAATCCCATAGTCAGGGAATAGAAAAAAAATCCATACCTCCTAGGTTTGGGACCTAGTATTAGTGAGAGTATGTGTGGGTGCTGGAAAAGCTATCTCTGTTATCTCTCTTCCCTCCACCTTCCTCAGAGGCTGCTGTACTACTTTCTTCTGTTCCACTACTTTCCTAATGATCGTGGAAGGTAATCAGCTCAGGTGACTATGCTTCCACACCCCTTCCTTCTCAGCTTGCTTCTCATCTGTGAAAATCCAAGTAGGCTCCTAGGTTTCCCACCTGCCAATACCCTCCTATTCTTGCACATCTTTCCACAGGTGGTCTACTCATCCCCTTCACTATAAGCTTTTACAAACTGCAGCAAACGAGAATTCTCAAGATTCATCCAATCACCTTCCTACTCCACATCACTTTTGCGGTGACGGATTAGGCATTACAAAGAGTCATATTATATATTCTCTTCTCTTGTCTACAATTTTTAGAGGTTATGGAGTTCAGATGCTTTTACATTTTGTGTAACTCGACAACAGTGAGTTAACTAAATGGTGCTCTAAAATACTTACAGTTGGCAGAATATACTCGTAAAAGCTGAAGACAAGGTAAAACCAAGCGAGGATTCTGCAAATTCTGTTTGACCAAATTCAGGGTTATATTCAGAGCTCCATTAATTCTAGCTTTCACTCCAAATTTTTTGTCTGTTTAAAAAAAATGAACACAATTTATTCATGTATAACTTTTCAATGAAATGAAAATGTCAAACAATGGAGTTTAAAAACTTTTATTATGAATTTATATTATCACATGTATAACTGACCTAATATAACTAAAACTATAATTATTTTCTGGTATTATTTTTAAAATAACGTTTATACTTTTAAAATATGTCTTAAAAGAAAGTACCAAGGAGCATTTGGGGAGGACAGGGTAAGGAAACAGAAGCTGAAGTCACCTATCATGAAAGGAAAATTTAACTGATCCACTACACATATTATTCAAAGGAACACCATCACAGGGTTAAGGAGAACTATAAAGAATCTAAATGTCCATTAACAATTTTATTTACTTAGTATTAGCCATATTCGTTTTCAGATTTACACAAGAATACAAATTAATGAAAATATAAATAGCGTAAGTAGAAAATAATCTAGCAAATATTATCAAATAAATTTCTAAAGGATCTAATTCAACATAGAAAAGGAAAAGAAGTTCTTGACTTTTATTCTTTTGAGGAAATTAAAGCAGTCTAAGAACAATCTGGATAACAAGAACAATGTTAAAATTTAAACAAAGAAAATAAGCAGGACCTGCAAGCAGAGTTAGTTCATTAAGAACAAGAATTTTAAATCAAAAAGAACTGAGTATTTCTGAAGAAAATTATTCCCATCTCACAAGAGAAAAAGGACAGAAAATCATGCAAGGAATTACTGCATAATGTCTTTGAATAATGAAAATGGAAAACTAGGACAAATAATAAAGGAGATAGTTCAAATTTAAAAGTCTAGAAGAAATGTGCTACAACTTAGAAGAGACCTTAAAGAGACACAAATATAAACTGGAGGATATTATGCTGAGTGAAATCAGTCAATCGGAGGACAATCATATGGTTTCACTCATATGTGGAATATAAGAAATAGTGAAAGGGCTCTAAGGGAAAGGAGGGGAACTGAGTGGGAAAAATTAGAGAGGGAGATAAACCATGAGAGATTCCTAACTCTGGGAAACAAAGGGTTGCTGGAGGGGAGGAGGGAAGGGGTACCTGGGTGACAGGCACTGAGGAGGGCACTTGATGAGTTCTGGGTGTTATACTACATGTTGGCAAAATGAATTTAAATTTTTAAAATGTAAAAAAATAAAAATAAAAAAAGAAATACAATTTCATGAATGTCTTAACTTCATGAAAAGCAAAGATAATCTGTCCTAAATAAAGAAGAAAGCATGAGATAACAATATTCATTATTAAATAAGGTTTACTCATTTTATTTTTCATTTTCAGAAGGGAGCCACTGAATCTCAGAAGGGAGCCACTAAATCTCAAATATAAGATTTAAAGAAAACTAAAAGACAACTTACATATTTTCTTACATCAGCTGAGTATGTGTTTAAGTGTTAAGGCCCCTAAGACAACTGGAAAATTAAAGTCATCTCAGGGATGCTTTCTTTAAAACAACAACTGTTAATACTTTGAACATTTGGGATTCCTGGGTGGCGCAGCGGTTTGGCACCTGCCTTTGGCCCAGGGCGCAATCCTGGAGACCCGGGATCGAATCCCATGTCTGGCTCCTGGTGCATGGAGCCTGCTTCTCCCTCTGCCTGTGTCTCTGCCTCTGCCTCTCTCTCTCTCTCTCTCTCTGTGTGTGTGACTATCATAAATAAATAAAAAATAAAAAAATACTTTTAACATTTTTTAATGTTAAATATGTTTTTAGCATATTTATACAATAAAGATATGTATGAAATCAAATACATACTGTATACACATGTACACACTTTTAGAATAAGCAATTTAATCAAATACTTCAAAGTTTAAAACTCATTTATATGCCATCAAGCAACAGCAGAACTCTTAAATAATCACTATTCTAAGAGTTCAGAGAATCTTTTTTTTTTTTTTTAAGATTTTATTTATTCACGAGAGATACACAGAGAGAGAGAGGCAGAGACACAGGCAGAGGGAGAAGCAGGCTTCATGCAGGGAGCCCGACGTGGGAATCGATCCCGAGTCTCCAGGGTCACACCCTGGGCTGCAGGTGGCGCTAAACTGCTGCACCACCGGGGCTGCTCTCCGAGAATCATTTTAAACTGTGTACTAGACACCTATAAACTGAACTTAGGTTTTATTCCAAGGATACCTTTCTCTGTTAACCTAAATCAGCTTTCTCCTTGTTTCAAATCCCATGTTTTCTCAATCTGTATTTTTTAATATTTTACATGTTTTACTATTGTAATAATTTGTCTTAGTCTTTTATATCTCTTTTACTTTTGACTAGATCTAAGCTTTTTAAGCATTGAGACTGTGCAGTGCAAATATGACTACTAATGAAAAGCAAACACATTTTATCTCCATGTTCCTCAAAGCATTCCTATCCAAACTCCGTCCTTCCAGCTTCAACAGCATGTGTTATATCCTTTACACACATACACATACAAGCACACACGCACTGAGACGTGCTTATGAATCTGATATTTTTCTTCCTTTTTCCAATCTATGCAATAGAATTCCTCATGAATTTAAAATCCTCAATTTTTTGCAGGTCACTAGTTGATTATAAAAAGTAGTCCATGACTAACACCAAAAAAAGTAGTACCATTTTAGATTTTCAAAATTTACCAAGTTTCAAGGCATAGAGAATCAATGTCACAAACAGTTCTATGATGAACACAGAAGTGGAACCCTTACCTTTAGGTCCAATCTTTGCAAGAATAGAATGAATTTGCACCATCAACTCCTCATTCAGGGGAGATTCTTTACTGGCATTCATAAGTAACTGCAACAATATTTGTGAACCACCTTTAGCAACCAAGAAACTCGCTCTTCGACCTCCACCTAAAAAAAAAAATTAGAATTGTGTAAACAGCAAATCCTCTCATAACATATCAGCACAACTTGTTAGCAATCAAGAAATATTTCAAATGATGACTTCTGAAATCAAACACCTCAAAATTAAATTTTATTTCATTTAGTGTTTTAGTTAGAAAATAGCAAAGTGGGTAAATACAAGTGATGCCAAAATTCTACATTCAAGGCTCTGAAAATGGTTTCTGGAGTGGTTTGAGGGATACTGGAAGATCCCTCAAATAAAAAACAAAGCAACAATAAGAGTATGACATTTCCGATTCCAAATTCTGATACTCAGAACAGCTTCTATTGGAGTATCAGAAAATTCCAAATAAAGTACACATGATACATTGCTGATGACTGTTTACAAACAGAAATTAGACCAAAGGAAACAAAAACTTACCAGCTGACACCAGCTCAACAAGAATGCTTAAGATATTAAGTGTAGTTTGAAGATCTTTCGTGTTCTGAAATAAATAGTTTATTTGCTGTATTAAACCATTGTAAATCTGTGATTCCCAAACCTTTTCTGTTCTTGTTGTGAACTACCTATATTTTTTTAAATGACCCTTCAAATTTCCCTAAGAACAAACATATTTGGGCTTCCACTATTCTTACTTATCATTTCAGTAGTTTCTTCTTGCCCTTGACAATATTTGCAGGTCCTCTGAGCTACTGTTTTCTTAGTAACATTATTACAAGAGGAATTATTTGTCATTTGAATTCATCATCTTCTACCAAACAGATAACCCAAATAAATGAATCAAAATGTAAAAGCCATTACAATGTATATATGGTCACTATCCAGTCACCTAGCTCCCCTCTCAGAAAGCAACTGCATTATCAGTTGCTTGTGTATTCAGCCAAAGATAATGTGCACAAATAAAAGAAATCCGTGTAAATATGTGTGTATATACAGATTTATTTCCCCAAATGATATTGCCCTATGGATACTATTTTATATATTGATATCTTTATGTATCAATACATCATTTCTTCATTCTTTTTTAAGGGTTACAGGATATATCCATCATATGGCTATACCATTATTTATGAAACCAGTCACCTACTAGTGAAGTATTTATTTTTTTAATCTTTTGCTACTGAAAACTGCCAACAAAAAATTAACATGCTTATACAGAATCTAGTACATCTCCATATGGGATAAATTCCTAGAATTTCTGGGTCAAAGATTATGGTCATTTACTTTGATGAACATTTACTAAATTGTTCTTCATGGTATAATTTACACTCCTACCACAATGTAGAAGAGTAACTATTTCCCAAAGTCTAATTAAATAGCAATCTAATGAGAAAAAAATGTTTAAACACTACGTTGGTTACATTTCTCTTATTAAAAGAGATGCTTGGATAAAGAGGTATTATGGTCTATTTAAGGAGAAAAGGAGAAAGGAGAATTATGGCCTATTTAAGGAACTGACTCATCCTCAAAATAGAGGAATTTTAAATGTTTATACAGAAGAATTTGAAAATTGTTGTGTATCGGTAACTGGCACAAAACTCTTATTCTTCTCCCTTCCAAAAGGTGTTGTTGTCTCTGCTTCACCATTTTAGCTCAGAGACTAATGAAACCAAAAAGCCACATCCAGACCAGTTAGAGGATTATGCATTAAACCAGAAACGTTTGTCTCAGCATTATATCAAATGGACCACCAACTCATTAGTGAGGACTTTGGAAGAATGAGAAGTCCTTTGCTAAAGAGAAGAATGGACTATGGCAGAATATTGCTTGTGTTTGGCAAACACATCTCATCTTCTTCCTGGATAAACAGCCAAACCACATTTTCCAGCCCTTTTGTAATTACGTTTGGCCCTGTGACTGACTCAGGTCATTGGAACCTGAATGGAAGTTGCACTGTTATCACTAAGCCTTACCCAGAAAAGTCTTCCATATATAATTCACTGCCTCCCACCCCTGCTGACCTCAACAAATTATGATAAAGCAAACAAACAAACGAATGGTGTTCAATCTTAAGTGCCATTTGCATTTCTTTTCCTGGGATCTGTCCATAATGTCTACACATTTAAATCCATGTCTACTGATTTAATTTTTCCTTACTCATTTGTAAAAGTTCTTTATATGTTAAAGACATTATTTAAGTTGAAACATTTGTTTTCATCTTGCCAAGTGTCTACAGTGGTTTTTTTTTTTTTCCATGTATTTTTGTTACTACAGTTGAATTTATCAATCCTTTATAGCTACTGGGTCTTTGCTTATATTAGAAAAGCCTTCCCTGTTTTAAGATTATTTTAAAAATTCTCCCATTACTTCCTCCAGTATTTTGATTTTATTTTCCATGCTTAAATCTTTGCTACTGATAGAGAATTTCTTTGGTATAGGAAGTAAGGATCCACCATTCTTTTTTAAGTGGATACCAATCTATCCCAGCTCCATTTAGTAAATAATCCACTTTTCACTGATCTGAAATGCTACCATTCTAAAGTGGTTTTAAATTCCCAGATGATCTTAATTTACTTTTGGACTTTCCATTCTGTTAACACTGATGTCTATTACATACAATTTCTAAACTATTTGAATTACTAAAATTTTATAATGTTCTCTGATATTTGGGGCAGCTAGTCCTTTCTCTTTTCTTTTTCAGAAACATCCTTTCTTCTCATGCTTATTATTTTCCCATTGAACTTTAGAAACAAAACCACTGGTATTTTTACTGAGATTACATTAAACTGACAGATCAATTTAAGGGGAAATGACATCTTATATCATTTTTAATAGGAAGTAATTCCTATTTTGATAGCACTTTCTATAAAAAAATATGAATTCAATTCCCTGTTTTTTCCAGTTCTATTGAAATATAATTTTACATACAATACTGTGTAAATTTAACGTATACAACATACTTACTCCCTGTTCTTAACACAGCACTGAATAAAATTTAAAATCCACAGGCAGCCCCAGTGGCACAGCGGTTTAGTGCCACCTGCAGCCCAGGGTGTGATCCTAGAGACCTGGGATTGAGTCCCATGTCAGGCTCCCTGCATGGAGCCTGCTTCTCCCTCTGCCTGTGTCTCTGCCTCTCTCATGAATAAATAAAGTCTTTAAAAAAAAATTAAAATCCTAATTCTGAATATATTCTGCTGATCCACCCAAAAGTATCACAGTGGGATAGAAATTTAATTGTTACCAACATAATATAGTTATTCAATCAATACATTAGTAAACTAAATCACAAATATGTATCACCTAACACAATGAGAATTTCCAATATCAATCATTTATTTTGGATTAAGGATTTATTTCTAGCTAATGCTTTATTTTTTATTACAAATTGGGATGGTATGTAATATTTAAAATATGGTTATCATAATCATAGGGAAATATACTTAGAGGTTTACCTAACATATATTAGAATGTTTCTGCCACCATTGCAAGTGATAATTTAAAACATAAAAGTAACTTCCATTCGTTGGTTTTACCTCTAGGATAAAAACTTTATATTTCTTATATACATTGAAGTTATTAAATGGAATTTTTCTTCAGTACTGGTTGCTATTAATGGTTACATAATTAAAGCCTGTCAGTGATTTACCTCTAGAGTTGATAGTAGAACTTCCATTCCTGTAGAACCTTTGGCTGTCATTTCTCTTCTTGTCTTTTCTGAAAGGTATAAAAAAGTTTTCTTCTAAAACATGAAAGAAAATGTAGAACTGACATTACTCCATTGGTCTAGTAAGCATTCTAAATTTGTTCTTCGATGATCCTCCCTCTGATGTTGCTAATTCTACTGGGTGGGAACTTCCAGATCTCAGTTTATAAGTCCCTCCTTACATTTAATCACATCTCCCATCATTAACAAGATGAATCCCAGTCAATCCATCTATAATCTTAAAGTCAACAGCAGAGTGTCAGTACCAGAATGAGAGATGAGGTAGGAAGTTGTTTAATGGCAGGCCTCTTTATTATCTTTACTAGAACTAGAAAATATTTAATCAAAATTGGTGAAAACAAAAGCCTAGTACCATTTTCAAGTGTTTTTACTGAATTAATATTATTTTAAAATTCTGATTTACACAAAAATAAACAAAACTAAGGAACAAACAAAACTTGCTTCTGCAAAAATCTGAAGACCAAATCACCCAAAGAATCCCTTTTATCTGAGATGGGGGGGACCCCCAGCACAAATCTTTCTACTATTTAAAAGTTTTTGAAAATAAAAAATAAAAAAAAATAAAAGTTTTTGAGCTTCTCCACAGTTCTTTTCCTTTGATTAATAAGACAAGAAAGGTGAATCGTAGGCCAACACTTAGGTAGATCACATACAAATTATAGGTCCTTGACCTATATTATCTCATTTATGACTCACTTTAATCCTCCAGGAGAAAATTACTCTTTTCATAGACCAGAAATTTGAGTTCAGAGAGGAAAAGAAACCCACACAAAGGCATTGAGCAGGTAAGTGAAACAGACCAGGTGACCCAAGTGTTTCTGAAACTAAAGCTTACAGTCTTTCACTGATTTAGCGTACTTCTAAAAGAGCCACAGGAATCATTCTTTAGGCAGGACTATTATACAAGATACTTAATGACCTTCTTCAACTGTTTTACACTTGAATATTAGGGCTAGAAATTCTTCTAATATAGGATGACAATACCATTCCTTTCATATTTTGAGATTTTAAAAACAATACAAATAACCCATTCTCAATACAGCACATATTACACAATAAAGTTCAAGAGACTGGTAGTACCAAATTTGTTCTACACAGTGATAATTAAGCAGTCTAAGAGCAGAATGAGCCCCGAAGCCCTGATAAAGAGACAGAGAAAAAATCAGGCTAGGCCTTTAGAATACCACACTTCTGCCCAGAGAAAATCCTGTTCAACTTCTATTTTAAATGAACAAAAATGCCATTATGTGGTATAGTTTTGACACATACAAATTATATATTTACAACTTCACAAGAATATGAAGTATGTAAGATGCAGAATACAAGTTACAAAATCTCAAGAAAAAACTCGTTAGTCTGATATCCATCTGAAAATTTGGTTATTCTAAGTGAGAAATTATTAAAGAAAAGGACAAATGTGCTACAAAGAAGTTAGAATATAAGTACTATTTATGACAACTATCAGTAACTACCCACAAAATAAATATGGAAATTAGAAATCATGTTTTTCTTTAAAACAATAATCTCATGCTATCATGCATCATCTTGGGTCCAGATAATGAACTCTGTAAAACTCACAAAAGCCTTACAATCTTTCTAAATATAAACCTGTAAAGTGAGGGACTCCTGGGTGGCTCAGCAGTTGAGTGTCTGTCTTTGGCTCAGGGCGTGACCCCCCAGGGGTTCTGGGATCAAGTCCCGCATTGGGCTCCCTGTGAGCAGCCTGCTTCTCCCTCTGCCTATGTCTCTGCCTCTGTCTCTCATGAATAAATAAAATCTTTTAAAAATTTTTAAAAATTAACAAAAAACCTGCATAAGTGATATGAAGATCTAAAACACTGTTCGTTTCTATATCCTATTGCCATAATTTCTAATGCTTAAACGAATGACAAATTTCTTTACCTATAAAAAAAAGGAAAAACTCATTAATATTTGTAGAACCCAAATCCTTTTTTAAAAGTATGTGATTCTTCTGCTGACCCTTCATCATTTCCCTGGCCCAGCTGCCTCCATCCATAAGTATTAAGTTTTAAATAAATACTGCTTAAACATCCACAATGCACCTTTGACATAACATTTTAAATAAGACAATCGATTTAATGTTAAAGCCAAATCGGGATGCCTGGGTAGCTCAGTGACTGAGCATCTGTCTTTGGCTCAGGGCATGATCCTGGAGTTCTAGGATCAAGTCCCCCATTGGGATCCCTATGAGGAACCTGCTTCTCTCTCTGCCTACGTCTCTGCCTTTCTCTCTGTTTCTCTCATGAGTAAACTTTAAAAATATTTTTAAAAAGAAAAAAAATGTTAAAGCCAAATTATTTTTCAGTATTAATCACATAGAATAGTCAGAAGATTGAGATCTCCTCTACTAACCATTACTTTTTCACCTTCATGGAACAAACCAAAAACTCCCCTTATTGTAATATCCACAATCATGTAGTTTACTACTCACACTAAATGAAAACTAGGTGCTATAGTTTTCTACTGTACTCTAGACTCTGTTATCATCTAAGGAGACTTCAATGTCAATGTGGATAATTCACTCAAATACCTAGCTGCCTAGCTTCTTGAGCATGTAACAACAAACCCTTTCCCCTGGGCTCCAATTTATGAACGCTTTCAATTCTCAGACCTCAAACTCCCCTACTTCTGAAATCTTAACCTCCAATCTCCCACTTGCAAGACCACAGCCTCCTGATACTACTCTTCCTTCTCGCTTTGAAAAATTAGGGAAGCCTGACTGTCACTTTCACTGAAATTTCTAACTCATCAATGCCAGTGCTCTTTTCCCACAAAATCAATTCTTGACATACCCCACTTGGATTCCAAGGTCCACCCCTTAATTGTACCACTGCAAACCCTTATAATTAAGTAAATACTAAAATGTGCACTCTCTATTCCTACATCACAGTAAAAATAAGGCCACAAGAATTTCTCCTAGTTTAAGATTCTTAGTACCAAAACCCTGAAACTACTGTTTTGACTTACCTCAACTCACAGCCATTACCATCTGCCCTGCCATAGCTATTCCAAAAATGTGTGCCAGTTCTCAACCTTGCCTCTCAGTCTCTGGACCTCTATTCCCAACTCTCGGAATCTACATTTCCCTCAATGAATTGAGACAAAGTTATTAGTCAATGACAGATGAAATCCTATAAACAATAACCAAGCTCCATACACTTATGTATCCAATCCTTGATGATTCTGAATTCCTTTTTCCAATCCAGGGAGGGAAAAAGGCATATATTGTTTCTACTATGTTCTGAATCCCATCCTTTCTACCTACTTATAAACCTACAGCTTCAGCTTCTACCCACATACTATTTTCTGTTTTCCCACCTACTTAACAAACCTTATTTTAACTTGCTGCCTCCTCTATTTCCTTCTGGTTTCTCAGTGAAACTCCCCCCATAACAGAAAGTCTACACTCCTGCCTTTTATTTCATTTGCCATTCACATTACATGAAAGTGCTCTTGTTGTGGCCAATAATTTATTGTCAAATCAAAAAGATTTTATTTTAACTAACACCCCTACGTTACTTAACATTGTTAGTAAAACTTCCTCTGCTGGCTTTTCTACAACAGTCCTTCTCTTCTCAGTTCTTATACCACTACATACTTTCTTCAACACTTGCAATAATCTAAATGTTATACTTAACAGGCAATAATTTTAAAGCAGCTATTATAATTACATCCAATCATATTATGGAAAATAAGCTCACCATGAACAAAAAGAAATCAAAAAACAGAGAAAAAGCACAAAAAAAGAACCAAATGTACATTTTAGAAAAGAAAAATATAATATGTGAAATAAATATCAGATAAACATAATGGCAGAATGCAGAGGAAAAAGGCAGTGAACCTGAACATAGAAAAACGATATATCATCCAATCTAACAGAGAGGATTAAAAGTGAAAAACAGGGCCTCAAGGATCTCTGGAGCAATCTCCAAAAGTCCAACATATGCATTATTATATCCCAAGAGAAAAAAATGAAGAGACAAATTTTGATCAGTAAAAATTTCCTAAAATTTATAAAAACACAAATTTACAGATTTGAGAAGCTCAGCAAATTCCAAGCAGGATAAATACAAAGAAAACTATATGCAAACCTCTGAAAACCAAAACTAGTAGAAAAGTATGAACTCAATCATAGAAAAATGACACATAACTTTCAGAAAGCAAAGTATCAAAAATAGTAGACATCTCCTTTGAAATCATAGAGGCCACAAAATAGTGGAAGCACTGTTTTACATGCACTTTATAGTGCTGAGAGACAAAAACCATCAACTCAGAATTCTATACCCAGTAAAAATATCCCTCAAGAATTTGGTGAAATAAATCTACTGTCAGATACAAAAAATTCTTCCACAGCAGACCGGTCCACTAGAAATGCCAAAGGAAATTCTGTAGGCCAAAGGGAAATTATGCCAGATCAACCTCATATCTTTAGGAAAGAAAAAGAGCTTCAGAAATGGTAAATATGTGAGTAAACATAAAAAACTACATGTTTCTTCTTAATTTCTTTAAAATACACAAGACTGCCGAAAGCAAAAATTGTCTTTCAGGACTTATAATGTATATAGATATGATACCTATCATAACTAGAGCTGAAGAGTGGTAAATATAAATGGGTACTTGAGGTTCCAAGGTTTCTAAATTTCATATGTGGTTACATTATTAATTCCAAGCACAGTGCAAAAAGTTAATGATTGTTTATTTTGATTTCCAGAGGAATGAGTTTTAAAAATTACAAATAGGTATAACTAGTAAGTCAATAGATAAATTAAAATGGAATTCTAAAAACTGTTCTAATAATACAAAAGAGGGTAGGGCAATAAAAAACAAGAAATGAAAACAGCAAGGACAAACAGAAAATTAACTGTAGACTTATGTCCAATTAATATTATATTAAATGTTATCAAACTAGATGCTCAAATTAATAGGTAGAGAACATCAAACTGCTATCTACAAACTGCTATCTACTTTACATTCAAAAATACAAATTGGCTAGAAGGAGGGCGCCTGGGTGGCTCAGCCTTAAATATATATAAACCAAAACTGCCAAAATTGAAAAGAGAAATATACAGATCAACAATAGGTAGAGAATTCAATACCCAAGTCTTAATAGAACAGCTAACTAGAAAATCAATAAGGTATACAAGTTTTGAACAACACTATCAAACAACATGACCTAACCAACATTAATAGGACACTCCACCCAACAACAGCAGATGGAACATTCACGTGCACATGGAACATTCCCAAGGAATGACCATATAGTAAGCCATAAAATATGTCTCAATAAATTCAAAAGGACTAAAATCATACAAATCTCCAACCACAGTGGAATTAAATTAGAAAACAACAGAAAGAAACTGGGAAATTCTAAAATAATGAGAAGTTAAACAACCCACTGCTAAATAATCCATGGGCCAAAGAAGAAATCACAAAAGAAATTAGAGCATGTGAACTGAATGAAAATAAAAATATATTAATAGTTGTAGAACACAGTTAAAGCAGTGTTTACAGGGAAATTTATGGCTTTAATGACCACATTATAAAAGAAAGGTCTCAAAATCCATTATCAAAGCTCCACTTTAAGAAAATGGAAAATCAAAGTTGAAACAAGCAGAAGGAGGGAAGCAATAAAGACGGAGGATCAATGAAATAGAAAAAAAGGAAAATAGAGGAAATTAATGAAACCAGAAGCTGGTTCTTTCAAAAGATCGACAAAACTGACGAATGTTTAGCTAGACCTGGGTCTCTCAATCTCAGCACTGTTGTCAGTTTCAGCCAAATAATTCTTTCTTAAAAGGGGTTATGCTATGTGTTTGTAATGCTCAGCAGCAACCCTGGCCTCTATCCATAAGATGCCAGTAACAATCCCCTTCTCAAATTTCACAACCAAAACCACCTCCAAACATTGCCAGTGTCTTGGGGCAAGTGAAGAGGAAAATCACCCCTGGCCCAGAACCACTGATCTGGACAGATCAAGAAAAGAGAAAGATGACACAAATGGCAAAAATCAAGAATGACAGAAACTGAGGATTATAAAGGAATTACTACCAAGAGATGCATGCCAACAAATTAGACCATCTACACGAAATGGATAATAATTATGTTTCTAGGGAAAAAATTAAGGGTAAATTACAAAAAGTACCATGCATACTGCAAATAAGTAATATATTCTTAAAGACAGAAAATGTAATGCACTCAGGAAAAACTAGCGTCAAATTGTGGAAATGTATATACCTCCACTACATAAACAAGTATTTGTGGTTTTTTTTAAATCACTTAAATACATAAGTAGTATGTGCTTATTACAACAATTCTAACAGTAGAAAAGTACCTTAAGTAAATCAGGAACTTACCTCATTCCCCTCCATTGCTATCCCACTGATAACTACTGCTAAAAATATGGTATGCATACTTCTGTTTTTGTGGGTTTTGCCTTGTTCATATAAGTGTTACATATGTATATAACACTTACTTTGTACAAAAATGAGGCTATACATATAGTTATATGAACCAAAGAAACTTGCTCTTTTACATAACAGATCAAACTTAGGGACTCCAAGCAATTCATACAGCTCCACATAGGAAGTATCTGTCAGATGTATCACAAGTAACTTCTTTATAACTGCATGAAGTTATTATACTTTTAATGTTCCACAACTTGGCTTTATCAAAATTAATTCAACCATTCTCTCACTAATGGATAGTTAGGGAGTGTCTTGATCTCTGGTATTACAAACAATGTTGCAAAACATCCTCAAACATTCTTTTACATACTAGCATTTTTATTTTAGTCAAATACGTTCCTGAGAGTCAGCAAGCAAGTGCACTTTAAATAAGCATTGCTAGATTCTTCTCTCCAAAGTTAGTAATAATTATTGCACCATCAACAGTGCATGAGAATACCCTATTTTCCATGTCCCCAATGCTGGATACTGTTATTCTCTAATTTCTGCCAATCTAACTAGTGAGAAGTATCTCTGTTGTTTTCATTAGCAATTCCCAACTTTCAAGGAGTTAAAGAATCTTTTCACAGGTTTACTGGCTATTTGCATTTCTTCTTTAACTATAATTTCTAATCTTTCTCTCTCAAATGGACATCCAACTGAATTATCCTATAAATGATGATGGGACAGTCTTCCACTACTAAATTACACTGTTCTCATTGGCTAATCCAATGTACTATAAACGAAATCACAGTATTACACAACCTAGGGGACAGCATTCAGGGCCTGGACCCCCAGTGGGGTATAGGGGCAGTCTCTGGTAGTAGTATGGCTGGGTCATTTTTCAGAGGTGATGCGAGAGAGTTGGGGCTTCCAGGCTGTGGGAAATGTCTGCAGTGGTGGGGGCAGTGTACACAAGTGTTATCTATGGGTCTGAAGAATTTGTTTTCTTTTGTTTGTGTTGGTTTTGAGGAGGTTTCATATTAGAACACAGTGAATATACTTGGTACATATAACTTCACACTAATACAGTTATACATCCTTGTACGTCTACCTTAGATGATAAGCACAATTACTTCCAAAGGCTAGACTCCAATATAGCGAGTTCTTGAATTAAAAAATACAGACAGGTAGAATGCCTGGGTGGCTCAGCAGTTAAGCCCAGGATCAAGTCCCGCATCAGGCTCCTTGCATAGAGCCTGCTTCTCTCTCTCTGCCTGTGTCTCTGCTTCTCTCTCTGTGTGTCTCTCATGAATAAATAAAATCTTTTTTAAAATGTTTTTAAATTTTTGGGATCCCTGGGTGGCCCAGTGGTATAGCACGCCTACTAAAGGACCTGAAACTCCAGAATAATGAAAATAACTTTAAAAATTAAAAACTAATTATAAAATGTCTGAACTTTAATTTTAACTGAATGCCTTCAATATACTATTAAATATTAAGGTAACTGCTGGTTTACCCTTATTTCAAAAAAGAAAAATCAGGTTTGTTTGTTTTTTTTAATCAACCACAAGTTCTAGAATCTTAATTTCCTTTTTTTAGTATCTATTGAAATGATTACATAGATTTTATTTGATCTGTTCAAATAATGTTATATTTCCTGATATTAAACCATTTTACACTCCTGAAGTGCTCATTAGCAATGTGATATTTATTTTTAATGTATTTTAATTCATTTGGATTTACTTCACTAACATTTTATTTGAAATTGTTCATATTTATGTTTCTAAGTACAAAGTCAGTACCTTTCTTCTCTTGTACTCTCTCAAGGTTTTGATACCAATTCAGTAATATTAACTTCATAAAATAGAAAAATGATGCCTAATTACAGATACCAATTATTGAACATTTTAAAATTCTTTTTATATGTTTCTCATGTAAAACTCATGATAATCACTGATATCTTTTATCTTTACTTCAGAGCTGGTACAGCTGAATCCTAGGGACTCAAAATTTTCCTAAGATCACCCCACCACTGAATGACAGAGCTTGCTCTCAAGTGGGGATCACACTAGTAACCAGTGTTCTGTGCTGCTTGACATCTTTTTGTCAACATTCTAGAACAAGAAGCACTGGAATTAAGTATTGTTTGAGAATGGGGGAGGAGGGCGCTTAATCATTATCATTTTTAGAAACAATGCTTTGAATAGCAATTCCGTCCACAGTCATTCAGTTTTCTACTTGAGTCTACTTGAGAAAGTTCAGTTTTTACAGAAAATCATCTATTTATCAAAAGTTTGAACATTCTTACTTAGCACCTACTTTTGAAGAATTGATAAAGTATTTCAAAAACAAAAGATTAAAGTTTACCTTGACTTTGAGCCAGATGAAGAATTTTTGATGTAACATATCTGGCAGTATCTGATTCTGTAGATTCAGTATTGATCTTCTCCAGCTGAGCCAGGAGTCCCACAATCCGAGAATTATTGGTAAGGCTAAAAAGAATGTTACTTTACATTACATTACATTCTACACCAATTGTAAATTCAAAACTATAAAGATCTCTATTTAAAAAAAAATCTACCTTCTAAAAACATTAAGGATTTATGCCACATTTCCTTATTCTGTTTTACAGCTTAATGTTGCTAAAATTTGGGGTGCCTGGGTAGCTCAGATGGTTAAGCTTCGGTTCAGGTTGTGATCTCTGAGTCCTGGGATTGAACCCCACATGGGGCTCCTGGTTCGATGGGGAGTCTGCTTCCCCTTCTCTCTCTACTTCTCCCCCCTTGTTTATGCCCTCTCTCTTTCTCAAATGAATAAAATCTTTAAAAAAAACAGCTAAAATTCTATTAATTTAAGAGAAACACATTTCATTTCAGAAAACCACAAATGTCAACCTGTCCAGCAATCTTACATCACACCTTCAAAGTTCACCTTTCGATTCTTCAAGAATACTTCTCACATTTCCTATGCTTACCTCAAAACTCTAATAATCCTTCCCATCTTAGTCCACTCTCAGTGCCCTGCTTTGTATTACAAGCCCGAACAGGAACACACTTTTCTTCCCACTACCACATCCTTAAATCTATCTGATTCTCTACCCACATTCTTTCTTCCTTGTTCTCATTATACATTTGCACATCTGAAACTGTTCTAGGTATTACCAATAGTAAACAAAACAAAATTCCTCTCCCTACAGACTGAACATTCTAATGGTGAGAGATAAACATGTAAATAATCATACAATATTTAAGGTGGTGGGAAGTGCTACAAAGAAAAGCAGGAAAAAAAGAAAAAGAAAAGCAGGTTAGACGGAATAAAAGGTGGAGGGCGAGGGATGCAATTTTAGTGGTCAGAGAACACCTCACTGATGGAGTACCACTGAGGGAAAGCCCTGAAAGAAGTAGCCATGAAGAAACCTGCAGAAAGAGCTATTCAGGGAGGAGTCACAACCAACCAAAACCCCAAGGCAGGGGTCGCTGTACTGAGTTAAAAGTGAGGCAGCCAGTGTGGCTGGAGTAGACTTAAAGAGAGTAACAGTGAGAGATGAGGTCAGAGGTGGGGGTGCCACCATTTAAAGCTTTGCAGGCCAATGTAAGGATTTTGACTTTTACACTAAGTGGGATGGAAAGTTTCTGAGCAGAAGAGTGATATGCTCTGATGTTTTTAAAGGCTCTCTGGCTAGTACGTTGAGACTCAAAAAAGAACCCCTCCCCTATATACTTGACCCAGTAGCCCTTCCCGCATTTTCAATGTATTTGCTCCTTAGATTAATCTTTCCCTGATTCATCACCCCTCTCTCCCTTTCAACTAGATCATACTCAATGGCACACTAATATGATGTAGGAGAGCTCCCACTGGCAACCAACCACTCCACTCCTCTGCTACTCCTTGAATGAGGCACCTGTACTTGCTCTCTCCATTTTCTCATGTTCTGTTCACTTTTCAAGCTTGCCTTCTGCACCCTGAGGTCTCCCAATCTCCTGTAGTCACTTCCTTACTCATCATATTCAGTATCTCAGCACTATCCAAATCAGATAGCTTCCTCTTCCTCCACTTCCTTCTTTGGGCTTCAATGACTCCACCCTCTCTTTATTTTATATTCTTCCTATCACCACCTCTCTGAGATCCCCTCTATTGGCTCCTCCTCTTGTAATACATTTCTAGATACTGATTTATCGACAGCTCTATCCCCAGCCCTCTTCTTTTCATTCTCTCCATTCTTCTGCCAATGTGATCTCATGTAATCCCACCACTGTAATTATGATCTAAATACTACCTGTCTCCTACACTCAACTCCAGCTTCACCCTGATAGCTTACCCAACCTAACAAGCCCAATATAAAGCATTTTCTAGTTCCTCCTCTCAACCTATTCCTCTTCCAATCTTAACCGCTCTCAAACCCACATGAAACCACCAATTGCTCAGGAAAAAATCTCAACTGCCTTCCTCACACCAAACCAGTATCAGCTCCATCTCTGAAACATATTAACTTCATCCACTTGTCTCCGTATCTACTATTACTCCTCAAGTCCAAGCAATCATCATCTCTCACTTGGAAATCATAGCCTTATAACTAGTCTGCTTTCTTTATTGCTTGCCAATAATCCATTTTCTCAGTAATTTTTTAATCTTTTTATTTCAAAATACTTATAAATACTCATAGGAAGTTGCAAAAATAGTAGAGTGGTCCCTACTACCTTTCATCTAGTTTCCCCAATGGTTACATTTACTACACAGCAATAGCAAAAACCAGGAAATTGACAGTGGTTAAGTATATAGTTCTAGGCCAGTGGATCACATGCATAGATTTGTAGAACCACTAATCTAATCCAGTTGCTATCCAGCTTAAAAAGAATCCCTTCAATGGCTTCCTTTCAGACTTTAGGTAAAATCTTACTTACTTACCATAGCCTACTAGACAGGCCCTTGTCTATGGCTTCTGTCTACTTCTCAGATTTTATCTCTCACAACATTCCCCTCATGCACTGGGATCCAGCTGCAATGGCTATCAGTTCTCTGAATACAGCAAGTTTTTCCCCAACCACAAGGTTGCTGTCCTCTCAGTCTGGAAGGTGATTTCACTCAGCTCTATTTAAAGCTGGCAACTTCTCATTTCAGGCTGCAACTCAATCATGTGACCATTTCCTCACCAGCTCCTCCACTTCTGATATTAAAATGTACCTATAAAGAATTTATCCCTATTTGAAATTATGTAAGCTCCACAAAGGTAAAACACCTTGCTTGTCTTACTCTACAAATTCAGTACTTCAAACATTGGCTGGAATAGCACAGACAATACATATTTAGAAACATATGAAAACCAGTATGTTTTCAGGTTAACTACCAAATGCTTTAAATTTGGAGCTACTTTTTAACTGAAAGGTATCTGAAATTTGAAAATACACATTAAGCCTACATTTTAAAATGTACCTAACCATTTAAAATAATGCAATATTTCCCATTTATCAGAGCCAGTATAGCACAGACATAAAGATACATATCGATATGCATAAATCTTTAAGCATCATAAAAACCCAAAAAAACCTTAAGAATATGTTCAGTGTAATATCAACAGTTTTAAGATACATAAATTCAATACAATATATTCTTTAGTGTATATACATAATATATAAGAAAACATTATACACACACATACTCTCTTACACATAAAGACACGCATGGAAATTATGACCATCAAATTCAGCATAGTAATTATCTCCAGATAAGGGAGAAAAATGTTATCAGGCAATAGTACACAATGCATTTGTAATTTTTTTTATTTCTTAAGGGGGTGACCAGTACATTATATTATTCTCTATCATTTTCGGTTTTCAGAAACATTTCATAATTTTTTTAAATAAAAAAATTCTGGGGGCAGCCCTGGTGGCGCAGGTTTAACGCCGCCTGCGGCCCAGGGTGTGATCCTGGAGACTCAGGATCAAGTCCCACGCCCGGCTCCCTGCATGGGGCCTGCTTCTCACTCTGCCCTGTGTCTCTGCCTCTTCTCTCTCTCTCATTCTGTGTCTCTATGAATAAATAAATTTTTAAAAAATCTTTTTAAAAAAATTCTGTAGAGATTAAATCTATGTTACATGTTTAACATTGTACATATTTTTTTCTTCCAATGTTGCAGGAGGAAGGAATGATTCCTTATATAACTACACTATCGCTACCATACCAAAAATAGTAACAATAATCCTTTAATATCAAAATTAGTCTAACTTCAATTTTCTTAATTTATTAGTTCATCTCTCACACATTTTCTTTGTACAAATGAGAAACCAAATGAGGTCTATGTATTGCATTTGTCTTTTTTTTTTTTATTTTATTTATTTATGAAAGACACAGAGAGAGAAAGGGAGAGAGGCAGAGACACAGGCAGATGGAGAAGCAGGCTCCATGTCAGAAGCCCAATGTGGGACTTGATCTCAGGACTCTGGGACCATGCCCTGAGCCAAAGGCAGACGCTCAACCACTGAGCCACCCAAGCGTCCCAACATTTGTTTTTTTTATCGACAAATTTCCTATTACTTTTTTTTCCTCACGATTTGTTGAAGCAGTTCGATTATCCTATAGTTCCCCACATTCCAGACTTTACCAATTATACATCCACAGCATAATTAATATGTTTGTCCATCCTCCATATTTTCTGTAAACTGGTAGTTGAATTTAAAGGCCTAACCTGATGAAGACTTGACTTGGAAATGTGAACTCTTTATAAGTAAGTGGTACTATAACCTTCTATAACAAGTCATGCAAGCTAAACTAGCCACTTTTTTCATAGAATATCATTTTTACTTCAAATAACAAGTCAAATAATAATAAAGACATTTTAAAAAACAAATGACAAAGATTATTCAGACTGGGGAACTGGAGCATACATTTTTTTTTGGAGAACAAAGTGAGTCTATAATTTCAAGGAACTGACAGATTGTTGCCAATGATAAAATTTAGCTTTTGAGCTAAACTTAGAATTTCAAAAACTGTCGATCTACCATAAAAGCCTTGAGTGCTTCCCACTAATTAAAAAAATTTCTAGGGGATCCCTGGGTGGCTCAGCAGTTTGGCACCTGCCTTTGGCCCAGGGCGCAATCCTGGAGTCCCAGGATCAAGTCCCGCATCAGGCTCCCGGCATGGAGCCTGCTTCTCCCTCTGCCTATGTCTCTGCCTCTCTCTCTCTCTCTCTCTCTCTCTCTGTCTCATGAATAAATAAATCTTCAAAAAAAAATTTTTTTTCTAGGTGCTTGGGTAGCTCAAGTGGTTAAACATCCAACTTTTAATCTCACCTTAGTTCCTGAACTCAGGTTTATAAATTCAAGCCCCACATTGGGCTCCATGCTGGGTGTGGAGGCCACTTTAAAAAAAATTTTCAGGATGCCTGAGTGGCTCAGCAGTTGAACGTCTGCCTTCACCTCAGGGTGTGATCCCAGGATTCAGGATCGAGTCCCTATGGGTTGGATTCCCTATGAGGACCTTGCTTCTCCCTCTGCCT